ACCTTTGACTCTAAAAAAAAAATATGCCAGACCATATTTGCCCAAAGTCCTCCAATACTTTCCCTTTTATTAATTTTGATAATTTTGAATACCAAAATTATCGCAGTGACCATGTCTTACATTTAGGTCTACTAGCCATTTTCGGGCAGCCCCAGTGGTGCAGCGGTTTAGTGCGGCCTGCAGCCCAGGGCATGATCCTGGAGACCCTGGATCGAGTCCCATGCCGGGCTCCTTGCATGGAGCCTGCTTCTCCCTCTGCCTGTCTCTGCCTCTCTCTCTCTGTCTCTATGAATAAATAAATGAAATCTTTAAAAAAAAAAGAGCCATTTTCATTTAGTTTTTTTATAGGGTGTGAGGTAGGAGTCCAACTTCATTCATGTGGTTATCCAGCTGCTCAGTACCATTTGTTAAAGACAACTCTTCCCCTATTAATTTGTTTTGGTACTTTTATTGAAAATAAACTGACTGTAGACATGAGTGTCTATTTCTGGACTTTCAGTTCTCTTCCGTTGATCTACGTATATTTCCTTATGCCAGTACCACACTCTCTTGATTACCGTAGCTTTGCAGAAAGTTTTGAAGTCAGGAAGTATGAATCTTCTAGCTTTGTTCTTCTTTTTTAAGATTGGCTATTATGAGTCCTTTGTATTATCATATGAATTTTGGGATCAGGCTATCCATTTATATGAAAAAGAACACAGTGGCATGTTTATTGGGATTAAGCTTATTAACCTGTAAGTCAGTTTGGGAAGTAAATCTACCAGTCCAAGAACACAGGGTGCTGTTTATCTATCTATCTATCTATCTATCTATCTATCTATCTATCAGCTTTATTGAGATGTAATTCACATACCATATAATTCACCCATTAATAGGATGTACAATTCAACATTTCTAGTCTTTTTTTAATATTTCTAGTCTATACACAGAATTGTACAGCCATCTCCGCAGTCAATATTAAATATTTACCCCCAAAAGAAACTTTGTACCCTTTATCACCACTTTATTCCCTCAGTCCTCATTCCAACTTACCCCTAGCTCTAGCCAACCACTAATTTGCCTTCTGTCTCTATAGATTTGTTTATTCTAGATGCTTTCATATAAATGGAGTGATGCGATATCCAGAAAAAGATGTTGTCTTTTGTGTTTGGATTATTTTGCTTAGCATCATATTTCTGAGATTCATCTTTCTGGAATCAGCACTTCATTCCTTTTTATGACTGAATAATACTCCATATAGCGAACATATAATGTTTTGCTTATCCATCTGCCAGTTGGTTGACATTTGGCTATGAATATTCATATGCAAGTTTGTGAACCCATGTTTTTATTTCTCTTAGATATATACCTAGTAATAGACTTGCCAGGTCATTTGGTAACTCTATGTTTAATCTTATGAGGAACTGCCATATTCTTTCCTAAAATGGCTGTGCCATTTTGCATTCCCACCAGCAGTGTGTCTGAAAGTTTCTAATTTCTCTGCATCCTCACCAACACTTACTATTATCTGACTTCTGAGTCTAACCATCTTCATGGATATAAAGTGGTATCTCATTGTGGTTTTAATTTATGTTTCCCTAATGACTAATAATGTTGAGTATCTTCCCATGTGCTTATTGGCCACTTGAATATTATCTTTGGAGGAATGCCTATTCAGATTTTTGCCCATTTTAATTGGGTTATTTTTCTTTTTTTTTGTTGCTGGATTAATTTTGCTAGTATTGTGTTGATATTTTTGCATCTGTATTTTAGTTTTGTTGTAGACGCTTTGTCTGATTTTGGTATCAGGGTAATACTGGGCTCATAGACTAAGTTTGGAATTCTTTTATTTTTTGGAAAAGCTGTGAAAAATTGGTATTAAGTGTCCTTTAAATTTTTGATAAAAGGGACATTTGGCTGGCTCTGTTGGTAGAGCAGACAATTCTTGAATTTGGGGTTATAAGTTCAAGCCCCATGTTGTATGTAGAGATTACTTAAAAATAAAGAGCTAGGAGTCATTGGTGATGTCATCTGGGGCTAGGCTTCTCTTTGTCATATTTTTTGTCATATTTTTTTAAATTATTGTTTCAATGTCTTCACTTGTCTTAGATCTATTCAGATTTTCTATTTCTTCTTGAGTCAGTTTTGGTAGTTTATTCTTTCTAGGAATTTGTCTATTTCATCCAACTTAATAATTTATTGGCCTACAATTGTTCATAGTATTCCTTCATAAGTCCTTTTATTTTGTAGAGTCAATGGTAATGTCCCCTCCTACATTTCTGATTCTTCTCTTTTTTTTTTCTTGGTCAGTCTCAGTAAAGATATGCTAACTTGGTTGATGTTTTCAAAGAACCAGCTTGTAGCTAAATTGATTTCCTCTTATATTTCTGTACTTTATTTTGTTAGTTCCCTTTTTACTCTTTCTTGCTTTAGTTTTTCTACTTGCTTCAGGTTTAGTTTGCTCTGCTTTTTCCCAGTGTCTTAAGGTTATGTTTAGCTGCATCCTATAAGTTCTGGTGTTATGTTTTCATTTTAATTCATCTCAAGGGGATCCCTGGGTGGCTCAGCAGTTTGGTGCCTGCCTTTGGCGAGTACACATTTTGCATGATTTCAGTCCTTTTAAAATGTATTGAGACTTGTTTTATGGACTGGCATATGGTCTGTCCTGTAGAATGTTCTGTGTGTGCTTGAGAAGAATGTGTATTCTGCCATTGTTAAGTGGAGCGTTCTGTAGATGTCTGTTATGTCTAGTTGGTTTATAATGTTGTGCAAATCTAGGGGTGCCTGGATGGCTCAGCCAGTTAAATGTCTGCCTTAAGCTCAGATCATGATCTCAGGGTTCTGAGATTGAGCCCCAAGTTGGGCTCCCTGCTCAATGGATGAGTCGGCTTCCTCCTCTCCCTTTGCCCCTCCTCCTACTCTCTCTCTCTCTTTCTCAAATAAATAAAATCTTAAAAAAATAATGTGCAAATCTATTTTTGTGCTGATCTTCTATTTTATTTATCTTCTATTTTATTTATCTTCTATTATTTATTATTGAAAATGAAATATTGAAGTCTCCAACTATTCTTGTTGAATTGCCTATTTCTTTTAGTTATGTCCACTTTTGCTTCATATATTTGGGGGTTATGTTGTTAGGTGCATATGTGTTTATAATTATTGTATCTTCCTGATGGATTGACAATCTTATTATTATAAATGTCTCTCTCTGTCTCTAGTAATAATTTTTGTCTTGGAGTCTATTTTATCCAATATTAGTCCGATAGCCATTCCAATTCAGTTTTTTTTTAAGATTTTATTTATTTATTTGAGAGAGTATGAGTGGGTAGGGCAGAGGGAGAGAGAAAACCAGACTCCCTGGTGAGCAGGGATCCTGACATGGAGCTCAATCCCAGAATGCTGAGATCATGACCTGAGCCAAAGGCAGATGCTTAACCCATTGAGCTATCCAGGTGCCCCTCCAGTACTCCCCTCTTTAAAAAAAATAAAGGGATCCCTGGGTGGCGCAGCGGTTTGGCGCCTGCCTTTGGCCCAGGGCGCGATCCTGGAGACCTGGGATCAAATCCCACGTCGGGCTCCCAGTGCATGGAGCCTGCTTCTCCCTCTGCCTGTGTCTCTGCCTCTCTCTCTCTCTGTGACTATCATAAATAAATAAAAATTTAAAAAAAAATAAAGATCTTATTTATTTACTCATGAAAAACACAGAGAGAAGCAGGGACATAGGGAGAGGGAGAAGCAGGATCCCTATGAGGAGCCCAATGAGGGACTCTATTCTGGGACTCCAGGACCATAACCTGAGCCAAAGGCAGATGCTCCACCACTGAGCCACCCAGGTGCCCCCTCTTCAGTTCCCTTTTGATGACTGCTTGCAAGGTATATCTTTTATTATCCTTTTGTTTTTGACCTATTTCTATTTTTGACTATATATTGTATCTTTTGTAGACAGCACGAGGTTGGATCATGTTTTCTTATCCATTTTGCTAGTGTCTGCCTTTTAACTGAAAGCTTAATCCATTTACATGTAATATAATTACTGATAAGAAGAACTTCTGTCATTTTGCTGTTTTTTACTTCTTGAGGAGGTAGTGTACATTTTTAAAAATATAAATTCAGGGACACCTAGGTGGCTCAACAGTAGAGCGTCTGCCTTTGGCTCAGGTCATAATCCTGGAGTCCCAGGATCGAGTTCCGTATCGGGCTTCCTGCATGGAGCCTGCTTCTCCCCTGCCTATGTCTCTGCTTCTCATTCTCTCTCTGTCTCTCATGAATAAATAAATAAGCCTTTAAAAAATAAAGTATAATATAAATCCAGTTAATTAACACATAATGTATTATTGGTTTCAGAGATAGAGGTCTTTATTATTATAATACCCCATGCTTATTACATCATGTGCCCTCCTTAATGTCCATCATCCAGTCACCCCATCCTTCATCACCCTGCTACTGTTTGTTATTTTTGTTAGCTGAATGCCTAACTATGCACTGGTCCCTTCATATACATCATTCACATTTTGTATACTCATTTTATGATTAAGGAATCTAAAGCCTGGAAGATGCAATAACAATCCTAGTCAGTGGTGGAGCTGAGGTGTGAGCCATCAGCTCATTGGCTCTTGTCTGGAGATTTCCTCGTTGGTCTTCTGGCCTCTTCCCTTACCCTCCCAGGGCCAATCTACATGTGCAGCCAGGGGGACCTTTTATACATGTAACTGATCATAGCCCCCTTGCTGATGTTCCAGTGACTCTCTTTGGAAGTCCTGAGACGCTTCATAATGAACTACTCCTGGTTAGTGAATACGTTCAGATACAGGGGTTGCCTCCTTCCCACCCAGGCCACCTGAGAGCTCAGCACTGTTTACTTTGGTGTCATTTGCTGGCCTCTGAGTATGTTCCAGTCTAGGCCTTGGTAGAACCAAGAGGACCTCTTAGACCATAGCCACCACCAGAGAGTTTCTGCACTTGACATACCTTTTCCTTCAGCCACACCCAACTTCACATTTTCCCCTCTTCTTCTCCTTTAGTCCATGAAGACTCTGCAGGATTTGCTTACTGACATTTATGCCCTCAAGATCACCGCTGAAACTCTCAGAAAGGATGTGGACAAACTGAAGGAAATATTTGACAAGGTAGACCCACTCTAGCATCCTCTGTGCTGGTCATACTGCTTGGACCTTAGATGGTTGGGGTGACAGGGTACATAGGGAGCCTGTTCTTAGTAAGAGAACACAGCTATGAGAGCAAAAAAAGGGGTTTGACATTACACAGCGACTTGGTCCATCCCAACCATCTCTCCATGGCTTCCACCATGCTTTTCACCCTTCTGTATTAGGACATCATTTGTAAGTGACAGAAACCTCGTTTATCCTGGCTTAGAAAAGTGAGAGAGTTTAGTGTCTCATTTACTAAAACGTCCATGGTTGCCTTCAGGTACAACCAGATCTAGGTGCTCATACTGCATCAATCTCTCTCAATGATGTTTTCCTGTGGGTTGGCTTTATTCTCAGGCTGGTACTCCCTAAGACTCTAGGCTCACATTCCACCAACTTAGCAGAAAGAGAACAGCTTTTCCTATTCTATACAGCTCTGTCCACACTGAAAAGAGCAATAAACCTAGCACAGGCATACAGTCTATCTCCCTTTGTAGTCACCAGGACATCAACCCAGGTGCATAATCACTCTTTATCATGATGTGGAAGTACACAGAATCCCTGAAGCATGAGTTCACAGTGGGTGAGTCAGAGCTAGGCTCAGAGGCTGGTATTAAGGCTGAGGTTTTACAGCTTGCCTCCAGATTGTGTGGTTTAGGGTATCATCCCCAATCCACAGTCAGTGTAGGCATTTGATTGTCATGGTAACTGTGAGAACTCAGTCTGGGTAGCTCCCATCTGAGAAGAAAGGACATCACAAAACACTAAAAAGATTCCTTCAACAAATATGTCGGAGAAAAAAAAATGCCCCTCAATCTACCTCTTAGTCTTTTTTCTTCTTCTTCTTTTTTAAGATTTTATCTGACACAGAGAATGAGAGAGCACAAGCAGAGGGAGAGGAAGAAGCAGGCTCCCTATTGAGCAGGGAGTCCAACGTGGGGCTCAATCCCAGGACCCTGGGATCATGACCTGAGCTGAAGGCAGACACTTAACCAACTGAGCCACCCAGGCGCCCCCTCTTAGAGATTCTTTTTTTTTTTCCCTAGAGATTCTTAATGTATTTTTGCCCATTAAAGGCTCTGAGAAGTCCTGCAGTATCAAAGCCCATTGAATACTTCTTAAGCCTAGCATTTTCCAGACTTATTTTCCCAGGGAACCCTCTTCTACTCCTTTCCCACTCACTGAGAAACACTTGCTTTGGAATTGGGTCTTCCTTCTCTAACTTAGTCACCTAGAGCTAAGTTCTTGTCTTTGAGCTGTGGGAGAAGCAGGGCCAGGATCAGAACTTACACCCCTGGCCCATGGCCTCGGCTTATTTGACAGATGAACCCAGAAAGAGTAAATGATTTGGCCGAAGACCTGAAAGGACAGAACAGGAAGGTGACTGCGCTGCAGCGGGATGTGGTGAGAGCCTTGGCTTCCCTTCCCAGTCCCCTGACCTCCAGGCTGGGGGTGCTGGGGGCAGGGAGGAGTAAGGAGGAGAACATAATCTAGAAAGGCAAGTGTGGACAAGGAGCCACCCAAGGGCATTGCCCCTCACTCCCAAACTCTCTCCTGCCCCCCAAGGTTTCTCTCCAGAGCAAAATCCTCACCATCCCCAAAGCCGAGGACATGGTACTCTGGAGCGGCCTCCATGAGGCCATGTTCACCCCTGTGAGTGAAGGAGGAATGAGGGGGTGGGGGGGCAGCAGCGGAGGGCCGGGGAAGGCAGGGTGGGGGAGCAGGCAGGTGCCCACTGAGCTGGCCTGGAGCATCCCTGGCCAGCCTCGCCCCCTTTTCCTCAGGGGACTTCTGCAAGGGGAACTAGTCTATCACAGTTTGAGGATTCGGAGCTGTGGAAGTTTGCAGAGCGGCTCCCAGACACCGAGCAGCCCCAGACCCCTAGCAGCTCCCTGGAAGCTGCTGGTCATGTCCAGATCTCAGAGGCCATCCTGCAGCCCAGGTTACTGGAGACTGTCTGGCATTATGAGGTCCCAGAGCAGCTGGAGGAGGAGGAATCTGCCCAAGCTGTTCTACTCGGGGCCGAGGGGCCAGGGCAGCCTCAGGGGCTGGAGCCCCGGTCTGTGCCCACACAGGGGCCGTGGCCTGAGTCTGTTCCTGCACTGGGGCCTGTGCTGGGGCCCAGCCTGACACCTGGGTTCACTGTACCACCTTGGCCTGCCCTTGGAACTGGACCTGCCCCTGGGTCTGGGCCTGGCCCTTCTCCTTGGCCTGCCTCCGGGCCTGCACCTGCCCCAGAGCTTCAGCCTATACCACCAAGAAGCTGGCCTCCTCCAAGAAGCTTGTCCAGGGGTAGCGCTTGGCCTTTCTGGGGCTTAGGCTCCTTGCAGCCTAGCCCGGGCCCATCAGGCCCCCTGCCTGCAAAGTCCCAGGTCTTCAGAGCTCCACCACCTGCCACGGAGTTTGGCTCAGCGTGGCCCCGTTCACTGTGGCCACAGTCTGGCCAGGCAGAGATGAACCTGCTCCCAGCCGTCTTAGAAAATGAGGAAGAATTTTTATCTCATGACATACCAGTCCCTCGGGACAGGGCCCCCAGGGCTGAGGCCCCCAACAGAGCATCTGCTAAAACTCCCTGGACTGCCCTCCAGCGGTTGAAGACCACTGCTGGCATGGCAGCTGCTGCTGCCACTGCCTATGCAGCCACTGCCACCTCAGCAGCCCGGAAAGCCGAGGCTGTTGCCAAGGCCATCATGGATGCCCCTGCCACCAAGTTGGCCACTGTAGCAACGGCCGCGGCTGCCTCGGGGCCCTTAGGGGTCTTGGCAGACATCCTGGGTGCAGGCTCTTCCCGTGGAGCCTTCTCTTTCAGTGAGGATACAGAGATAGAAGACTTGCAGGTGTTCGAAGACGACCTCTCTTCCCTGTATGTTGCTGCTGGCCTCCCTCCCGAAAGCACCCTGTCCCAGGCCATGCTGGCTGCCCAAAAGGCCTTGACCCCTGAAGACAAGAAGACGGCCGTCAGGTACTCCATGGGCCACATAGCCCAGATGCCCCTGAGACACGACTCCCTCAAAGAAGAGTTTGCCCAGCTGTCGTCCAACCTCCAACAGCGCCTGACTTATCTAGGTAGGTCCAGCCTGGCTCAGGCCCTCCCTGCAGCCTCCAAGTCCCTCGTCTCCATTTAGCTCCCTCAACAAAACCTGTATTAACCATTAGACATTCATTCCTCTGGCCTCCACATTAGTCTCTCGCTAGTCTATTCTTTTACAGTGAGTGTTACAGTGAGGGCTTCTCACAGGGGTGGTTAGGGGGTTAGGGCCTAAAATTGGCACTGAAGAAGGAAGATTGCATGTCAAAATTACCTTGGAAAACTCTCGGGCAGCCCTGGTGGCTCAGCGGTTTAGCGCCGCCTTCAGGCCCAGGGCCTGATCCTGGAGACCCGGGATGGAGTCCCACATCAGGACCCCTGCATGGAGCCTGCTTCTCCCTCTGCCTGTGTCTCTGCCTCTCTCTCTCTGTGTGTCTCATGAATGAATGGATAAATCTTAAAAAATAAAAATAAAAAAGGAAAACTCTCTTTCCACAGCCTGTACAACACAGCACTGCTGTACAGTTTCGGTAAGTCTGGTTCTGCCAGAATGTCCCACGGCTCTAGACAGACCCCAAAGTGGTCAGTTTGGGATTAGGAGCAACTGCCTGGCAAACCCGTGCATCCTTAAAGACCACAGAAGTTTTCTGGGTGGCAGCAGAACAAGTAGATTTATGCTCCCATTTTATGCCCACGATGGGCAAATGCTCGCTGAGGCGAGTGGAGGGCAGGATAGCCTAGTCTAGTAGTCCTCAACCCTGTGCTCCCCTCGGCATCCCGTCCGCAGAGGGCTGGGGAAAACACAGACTGCAGGGGCCCCAGCCCAGGGTTTCTGACTTGGTCGGTCTGGGCAGGGCCCAAGAATTTACATCTCTTTCTCATTCCAGCAGCTGGCCCAGGGGATCCACTGTGAACCCATTGCCCTACACTGTTTGCATCATTATCTTGCTTTTTTTTGCTCTCTGCCCAGCACAGTGGTTGGATTAAGTCAAATCCCTATGTGGAGGTACCCCTAATTGGCAGTGCTGTTCTACACATTGTGAAAAGAAATTGTAGGATTTCAGCCAGCTTAGATAAACCATCTATGAGGACTGGTGTGCAGCTAAGCATATGAGAGAAATGGGTGCCTGGGGGGCTCCATCAGTGAAGCATCTGCCTTCGGCTCAGGTCATGATCCTGGGGTCCTGGTATTGAGTCCTGTGTCAGACTCCCTGCTCAGCGGGGAGCTTGCTTCTCCCTCTGCCTCTCTCTCTCACTTTCTCTCAAATAAATAAGTAAAATCTTTGAAAAAAATTTTTAAGCAGGGAAACTTAATTTTGATATTTTATTTAACCCAATATATTCAAAATAGTATGATTTCAATATGTGATAAAAAAAATTGAGATGTTTTATGTTCCTATCTCCTTACTAAGCTTTCCATTTCCAACATGCGCTTCACACTTAGAGCATATCTCCACTGGAACTCACCCCATGTCAAGTGCCCAACAGCCACATGTACCTCCTGGTTATCCTATTAGATACCACAGGTCTAGGAAGGCCTTTCTGGAATTTACTCCCTTCTCAGAAAAGGCCCTTAAGCTGGGGTGGCTGGGTGGCTCAGTCAGTGGAGCATATGACTCTTGATCTCAGCATTGTCAGCTTGAGCCCCATGTTGGGAATACAGAATACTTGAAAAAAAAAAAAGGTCCTGAATGAAACTACAAAGCACCTTATTTATGAGAGTATATGGAGTGCATTATCTCATCACAAGATAGAAAGAGGTTTTTAACAAAGAACGAGAGGGGTTTAAAAAAAAAAAAGTAACCTATATCAAGTTCCAGACAAGAAGTTAAAAGCTAATGTACAGGACACACCTAGGAAGGTATGAGAAATCAGAGCCAAGATATGTTTACAAACTTCTTAACAAAAATGGCAGCTTGTCAGAAGTAGAATTTGGGCCATTATGGTATCACATTTTAAATTTAAATTTATTAATATTAATAATAATAATAATAAATTTAAATTTATTACTTTCATATTCTTTTTATTTTTTTTCATATTCTTTTTAAAGATTTTATTTATTTATTTATTTGAGAGAGAGAGAGAGCGTACATGCATAAGCAAGGATGAGGGGCAGAGGGAAAAAGAGAGAGAATCTCCAGGAGACTCCCCGTTGAGGGTGGAGCCTAGTAGGGGGCTCAATCCCACAACCCTGAGATCATGACCTGAGCTGAAATCAAGAGTCAGATGCTTAATTGACTGAGGCACCCAGGTACCCCTCCTTTTTTGAAAGATTTTTAAGGATTTTATTTATTTATTCATGAGAGACACACAGAGAGAGACAGAAACACAGGCAGAGGGAGAAGCAGGCTCCTCTCAGGGAGCTTGATGCAGAACTCAATCCCAGGATCCCTACCAAAGGCAGAGTATCAACTACTGAGCCACCAGGGGCCCCTTTTTATTATTTCTTTCTTTTTTTTTTCTTTTTTTTTTTTTTAAGAACGCAGCTGCTAGAAAATTTTAGATGACAGCAAAGGCCACACAGACTCAGTCTCTCGTTGCTGGACAGCACCAAGTCAGATGACTTATTTCAGAAGCAAGTGGAGTTCTAGATGGAGCATCTTTCCCTGTCCCTGCCGTCAACAGCTACCCCCTCCTTTGCTTTCAGCTAATTTGGGAGCTTCTTCCAAGCTTGGGACGACAGTGGACACACTACAGGAAAAGATTGGGAGCCTCCAGAGATCCAGAATGAAGGTCAGTGCCACAGGCAGAAGGAGTTTCTGAGATGGTGGCTTGAGGCACCTCAATGTCAGAGTCCCTGACCCAGGACAGTATTTGTTGTGTAGCTGAAAGGTAGCCCGGGGGAGTGAGTGGGGCCAAGGAGGCAGACCTTGCAGGTGCAGGGGTCCCAGTGGGTCATGCGCATGTGGTTCCCCCTGGCAAGGGTTGTAGGGGGCCACCCATGGGGCATATTGGAGACGTGCTGGCCTGGTATGCTCATCAAGCCCCTTCCTGGCTTTTGTGACCTTAGAAGCTGAGGCTTTTGTGTCTGTGTCTCCCCTTTTTAGGAAGAGGAACTCGAGAGAATTTGGGGCCACCAAATAGAGATAATAAAGGATCACCACCTCGTGCTGGACAGGGCAGTGGAAAAGCTCCAGATTCGCCTAGATGACTTAAAGGTCTGGGGGTTTCAGTAGCCAACTGGGGGGAGGATTCACCACTTGGACATTTGGACCCTTCCCAAAAGTTTCACATAGATGGAGGGAACCAGGGACAGTGCCCTGGTATTTTACTTTGTGTGAATTCCACTTCAGTTAAAATAAACAAATCCCACCCCCCAGCCCCCCACCCCCAAACATATAAATGAGGGCCTGAGCAACGTCTGTGTTGTGAATGGTGGGGTTACCCGCCCCCAGAAGGGTGCCTGGCTCAGAGCAAACGGCTCAAAATGTGCTGGATGAATCAGTGAATGAATACAAAGATTTCTTGCACCAAGTGTTAGGTTTATAACATTTTCCCTTAAACCCAGCTCGTTTGTGAGTTCTCAGCATCGGGGCGGGGGTGGAGGAACGTCTTTCCGGAATGGCAGATTTGCTGACACCACAATTGTGCAGACACAGAGTGCCTAGCTGGGGCTCACTTGCCGACACCTTCTCCCATGGGCCCGGAGGGTCTGACCCAGCTGGCCTGATGGTCCTCAGGACCAGTCTGGTCTGTGCCTTGTCTCAGAGGCATACCCACTTGGAGGACGACTCACGGTCATGCCCAACAGGAGGATGTGACCTTCCCCCAGAGCATAAGACACAAAACTCCAAGCAGATTCATTGCAGATGGTTCCCATGGGGACTTCTGATTCCAAGTCAGCGGGCTTGATGGGATGCTTTAGGATGAAGGAGACACAGGGGGAAGGCCTATCTCCCCCTCCAGAGACTGTCACACAGAGGCATCAGGCTAGGACACAGACATGGCAATGTGGCGGGGAAAGGTCTCCTGAAAAGGGAACCAGTTCCCAGCCTGAGCGAGGGTGGAGTGTGTGGGCGGAGGGTGACGGGCTTGCCAGCTCAGGCCTTTGTGAATGCCGAGATCAGGAATTGCCTTGTCTGGGGCCAGCTCTGGGCCCTCGCTGTCACTGCCCTGCGGGGGAACAAGTGCCTTCCCCCAAGGAGACTGGAGCCTGCACACCAGGCACGTGTGATATGTGCCCAGCACCGGGGAGCGGGGGGGAGGGGGGGGGCGGAGGGGGGTGGTATTGCTGGGCGTCTGCCTCCAAGTAGCGTTGTTTGTCGAGGGAAACTGCAAGTCAGCCTTTGGGCTTCCTGCCCCTGTGCCGAGGGGAAGTTGTTGCTTATAAAAGTTAACCCTGGAAAGACCTGGGGCAGGGTTTCGTATACAGCATGTGCTTCGTTAAATATTTCTCAAGTGAATGCAAGCCACAGGAAGCCAGCAGCCCTGTGGAGCCCTGCCTGGAGAAATGGGGGAGGACAGGCACATCTGCCGCGGTTCTCACCCGCAACATCTGGAGCAGGGAAGAAACGGGGCTGCTACGGCTTTCCCTGTATGTCCGTGAGAAATATCAGAAACATAGCAGGTAGCACAAGAAATCCTCTTACCCACCCACTGAGCCAGTGCTACCAGCCTCCACTTTGCGCCAGGCACTCTGCTAGCAGCTGGCGATGCCACAGTCAGCAAGCCGGACCCTCCAGGCCCTTTCGTGCATGTGTGTGTGTGTGTGTGTGTGTGTGTGTGTGTGTGTGTGCAGGGGGCAGTGGTGGCATTGGTTTGTTTTTAAGCAGAGTGTAATGTACACACAGTAAAATGCCCAAGCCTTAAGCCTAAGAGCCGATTGTGCAGCCACGCTGCCACCATCCAGTCAAGATGAAGTGCTTCCATCCCCTTGGCGCGCTTCTCTCAGAGAGCTTCCCTACTGAGAGCCCAGCGAGAAAATAAGTTGGGGGGAGAACTCTTTCTTGTGGACTTTGTGGAAAACAGGAGTTGCCTTTTGCAAGTGGACAAGGGTCTTCTACAAGCCAGAGACTCCATTCCCAAACCACTCTTGGGACAAGCTGTGACACTCAGAGTTCTGGCTGGGTGCGGGAGGACACCGATGGGGTGGCCAGGGGGTATGGAGTGCTAACTCTGCCAGACTTAGCCAGAAGACACCACTTCTCATCCCTCCACGCTGCGGGAGAGGAGGGGGATCGGTGCCATGGAAAAGAGCAGGGAACAGATCCAGGCAAAGAAGCTTACCGAGCTCACCCGGTTGGGGGGTGGCATGGTGTTGGGGTTCAGAGCACTGGCATTGGGTTAGATGGGCCTGGGTTTGAACCCCAGTTCTGCCACTGGGTGTATTTGCTTCCTGTGGCTAACATAAGAAATTATTGCAGATTATTGCAAACTGCTTGAAGCACTAGGGACCTGTTCCCTCACTATTCTGGAGGCCAAAAGCCTGAAATCATTGTTGGCAGGGCATTGCTCCGACTGAAGTCTCCAGGGGAGGGTTCTTGCCTCTTCCAGTTTCTGGTGGCTCCAGGTATTCCTTGGCTTGTGGCCGCATTGCTCCAGTCTCTGCTTCCGTGGTCACATGTACTCTTCCCTCTGAGTCTGTCTTCACATCGCCTCCTAATAAGGACACCAGTCAGTGGATTTAGGGTCTGCCCTGATCCCGTACAGCCTCATCATAACTAATAATCTGCAAAGACCCTGTTTCCAAATAAGGCCACATTCACAGGTTCTGGGCAGGCGTGAATCTTGGGGAAGACATGTAATCAACGCAGTGCTCATAACCCTAGCAATAGAAGTTAGAAATTCCCAGGGACACCTGGGTGGCTCAGTGGTTGAGCGTCAGCCTTTAGGTCAGGCCTGTGGTCCTGGGGTCCTGGGATCGAGCCCTGCTTCTCCCTCTGCCTGTGTCTCTGCCTCTCTCTGTGTGTCCCTTATGAATAAATAAATAAAATATTTTAAAAAAGAGAAGTTAGAAGTTCCCAGATAATTACTCCCCTTTATTTCTAGATTTTAACTAGAAGGAGCCAAGTGGAGATCTGAGTATTAATGTTGGGCCTGGGACTCCAAAAGGTCCGGGATTCCTGCTGACATGGGGTTGGAGGAAGTAACTTGACTTGAGCCACAACAGGGCCTTCCTTCCATACTTCCACTTCCCATTGTAGACCTTGGGACCCATCTCCAGGCAAGGTGGTTGTGATGGTATTTGCCATTTATTAGAATTAGGTTCAACTTCAGATCACATAAACTGACTTAAGCATGGGTTAAGTATATTTCCATTTCACATTCAAGAAACTCAGAGATGGTTGGTCCAGAACTGGTATAGAGCTCTGTGGTGTGTGATTTCCATTCTCAAGCTCACCTCAAGGTACAACATGGCTGCGGGCACTCCAGTCATTACCTCTGCATTCAAGTCAGCAGCAAAGAGGACATACTTCATTAAGTATTTCTTTTTTTCCCTACCTACTTCCTATCCACTTCCATTTACACCCCCATTATCATACTGAGCTGTAAGGGAGGATGTGAGATGAATTTATGATTCTGAGCTGCCAGGTACCAGCTAAAAGTTTGGGGGCTCTCTTTCCTAAGGGTGAGAGGGAAGCCAGATATGAAGGGAGAAGCAGAAGCCTGTTTCTAGCTTTGGAGGAAACCTGGCCCCACCCTCTGGGGACATTGCTCAGAAGGTGTAAGGCTCTGAGGCTCTTCCCAAGGCAGGTGAGCTGCTGCTGCTGTCACAGCGAGGGCCCAGGAGGTGGAGAGCAGGCACTCTACGGAGTGAAGGGGATGGGAAATACGCCAGCGCGCAGTGTATGTGGCATATAAGTGCTTGGAAGATAAACAGACTCCAGTTCTCACCAGGACCCCATTATAGATCAGAAGAGCTGTACTTGCCTTAAACATCCAGGGAACCAAAGTGTTAATGTTGGTTTGTGTTTTCTTTCCTTGGATCTGCCTCCCTGTGCAGCCAAGTCCTTGTGATGCCATGTCCTCCGGAACAGCTTGTCCCAAGGCTTCCTTCCCTTTGGATCTGGGCACCTGGAGGCCATACCTTCTGACGTGCCCACCCTCCCTGCTATCCACCTGGCCCCGTCGTCCCTCCCTGGCACGTTGTGGGGGGTGGACATGGGAGGGAGATATGATTCCCAAGGGGTCCGGGGATGGGGAACATACCCTTTGCTTCTGTCCTTAGATTGTCCATGCTCAAATTAAAAACCTCGAAATGCACAAGGTGGACAAAAGTGAGCTGGAGCAGGAGTTGAAAGAGGTGAGTGAGCAGAGGATCCTCCCACAAGCTCTCCATCCCAGGGCAATGGAGTCATCCAGCCAAGACAAAACAGAGAACTTCCCACAGTTTCCTTCCACTTTTCTCATATAGGAGGGCTCGGGGAGCCACCCCAAAGTTATCCTATCAACTCCTATTTTCTGTGACTCAGGATTAATGACAATTTATTACGTGAACCTAAAAATCAAACACCAGCTTCTCCATCACAGGAAGACCTCAACTGAGACCTGACAGTCATGCTTGAACCATTCTAGGGTTGAATTTAACCCAAGGCCAGGCATTCAGGGTCCCAGACTAAAAAATACAGATCAGAGTGGTCAGATCCCCCAGCTTCCTCCTGCTCCCAGCCCAGCAGCCCTGGCTCCCTGAGTCCCCTCTGTCTCTAGAAAGCTGACAGGAGCACCCTGGCAAGCAAGGCGAGCCGGGCTGACCTGGAGACGGTGGCAACAGAGCTGAACGAGATGATTCAGGGCATGCTCTTCAGGGTCGTGACCCACGAGGATGACTGGAAGAAGGCTCTGGAGCAGCTGAGCAAGGATGTGAGCACCAAGGTGAGTACCCTGTAGCAGCCATCACCTGCTGTGTAACAAGTAACCCTGAGATGTGGCAACTTGAAACAACAAATGCTCGGGGGTACTGAGGGTCAGGAATTGGGGAGCAGCTTAGCTGAGTAACTTGGATTCTCCCATGAGGTTGTAGTCAAGATGCCATCTGGGGTTGTGGTCCTCTGAAGTGCCACTTCCAAGATAGCACCCTCCAGTGGCCATCAGCAAGATGCCTCACTTCCTTGCCACTCAAACTTCCCCTTAAGGCTGCTTGAGCAGCCTCACATCATGGCTTCCCCAGAGTGAGCGACCCAGGATAGCCCAATGGAAGCTGCCTTGTTGTCTCTGACTTAGCCACACTGCATCGTTCCTGTAGCATCTTGTGCTTCCATAGACCAGCCCTACTCCATGTGAGAGGGTGTGAGTACCAAGAGGTGTGGGCAGGGAGCATCTTGGAGGCTGACTACCAGAACTGTCCCTCCTGGGTGAGCAAAGAGGCATGGTAGGATTGTGGGGACGGGTGGGAGGGCTGCTGATCATTTATTTATTCTTTCATTATTTACTGACCACCTGTGATAAGCCAGACTTTGGAGAAATGGCGAGAATGAGTCACAGCCCCTGTCTTGATTTGTACCATCCCCTAGAGACAGGAACTGTCAGACCAGCACAGTTACAGTGCTGTGGGGCTCCCGCAGCTTGGGTTCCGAATCCAGCAGCCCTGGTGGGAGCCCAAGCTCTGCCCAAGCAGCCATGTGCTGCAAGTTATGTAACCTCACTGAGCCTCAGCCTTCTCATCCACAAAACGAGGATTTCTTCATTCATCGGCTATGCACTGGGCACCTATGACTCTGGTCATTGTGGGTCACAACAAGCACAACAGACACAGGACATGTTTCTCTTGGAGACACATTCAACATAAAAATCACAAAAATCAATGCAGAATTTTCAGCCCAGGTGACTCTGGTTATCTACAGAACAACTGACCTATTTTTCTTCAATAATTCAATGATAGGGTGGGGGAAAAAGTGGAGACAGAGAGACTGTTCTAGATTAAAAGTGTCTCCAGAGACAAAACAACCAAATGGAGCTCATGAGGAGACCTGACCTGTGTCCTGGTTCAGTTGTGCCAACTCTATAAACAGGCTGGGAATTAGAGCAAAGTCAGGAATTACTGTTCGTGTGTTAGGTGTCATGACAGCATTGCAGTCATTAAGAAAATGTCCTCATGAGGGACGCTGAGGTGGCTCAGTTGGTTAAGCATCTGACACTTGGTTTCAGCTCAGGTCATGAGATCAAACCCCACATTGTGCTCCGTGCTCAGCAGGGAGTCTGCCTAAGGATTTCTCCCTCCCACACTGCCGCTCTCCCCACTCTTGAGCTCTCTCTTTCTCTAAAAATAAATAAATCTTAAAAAGAAAAGAAAAGGTCCTCACGAGTATGACAGTATTTATGTGTGAGGTATCATGACTTCTGTAGGGTTGTCATGTATTTAGAGAGCACTGGGTGAGCGGGGTACCGGGGGAGGGAGAGGCAGAGAGAATCTCAAGCAGACTCCACACCCAGCATGGAAGCCAACATGGGGCTTGATCTCAAGACCCTGAGATAATCATCTGACCCAAAATCAAGAGTCAGACTCTCAACCAACTAAGCCACCCAGGCGCCCCTGGTCTCTGTAGGTTTTTAAAAGATCCTCCAGGGATCCCTGGGTGGCGCAGCGGGTTTAGCGCCTGCCTTTGGCCCAGGGCGTGATCCTGGAGACCCGGGTTCAAATCCCACGTCGGGCTCCCAGTATATGGAGCCTGCTTCTCCCTCTGCTTGTGTCTCTGCCTCTTTCTCTCTCTCTCTCTGTGTGTGACTATCATAAATAAATTTTAAAAAATAAAAATAAATAAATAAAAAAGATCCTCCATCAGGGTTGCCTGGGTGGCTCGGTCGGGGGAGCCTGTGACTCTTGATCTTGAGTTGTGAGTTCAAGCCCCACGTTGGGTATAGAGATTACTTAAAAATAAAATCTTTAAAACTAATCAATCAATCTCCATCGAAAAAATAAGGCAGATGGGGTGCCTGGATGGCTCCGTTGTTAAACGTCCAACTCTTGGTTTCAGCTCAGGTCATGATCTCATGGTCAGGAGATGGAGCCCTGCATTGTGTTCCTCACTTACTTAGCAAGGAGTCTGCTTGAAGATCCTCTCTCCCTCTTCCTCTACACCTCCCCTCACTGGCTCAAATTCTCTCTCTCTCAAATAAATAAATATTTTTTAAAATTTAAAAAATATATATGGCCAATATAGCAACCTGTTAATAGCGATGAATTCCAGACAGTGGATATATGGGGGTTAATGATTCTAGTCTTTTCACTTTTCTGTGTGTTTGAATTTTTTTTCCTAATAGAAAGTTTTGTAAATTTTTGGTGTTGTTTTATTTTTTTATTTATTTTTATTTTTTAATTAATTAATTTATTTATGATAATCACACACAGAGAGAGAGAGAGAGAGAGAGAGAGAGGCAGAGAAACAGGCAGAGGGAGAAGCAGGCTCCATGCACCGGGAGCCCGACGTGGGATTCGATCCCGGGTCTCCAGGATCGCGCCCTGGGCCAAAGGCAGGCACTAAACCGCTGAGCCACCCAGGGATCCCTGTTTTATTTTTTTTAAAGATTGTATTTATTTATTCATGAGAGACACACAGAGAGAGGTAGAGACACAGGCAGAGGGAGAAGCAGGCTCCACGCAGGGAGCCCAATGCAGGACTCCATCCCAGGACTCCAGGATCACGCCCTGAGCCAAAGGCAGCTGCCAAACCTCTGAGTCACCAGGGATCCCCTTTGGTGTTGTAATAAATGCTTTTTCTTGTCTTTCTTTATTTTTAATTGTGGCAAAATTCACACAACTTAAAACTAACCATTAACCATTTTATTTTTTTAAAGATTTTATTTATTTATTCATGATAGACATAGAGAGAGAGAGAGAGAGAGAGAGAGAGAGAGAGAGAGAGAGGCAGAGACACAGGCAGAGGGAGAAGCAGGCTCCATGCCAGGAGCCTGACACGGGACTCAATCCCGGGACTCCAGGATCACGCCCTGGGCCAAAGGCAGGCGCCAAACCACTGAGCCACCCAGGGATCCCCCCATTAACCATTTTAAAGTGACTAAATCCAGGCCATTTCGTACATTTACAGTGTTATGCTAGCACTACCTCTGTCTAGGGGTGAGACATTTTCATCCCCGAAAAGAGACCCATACCCACGTCTGCAGGCCCTCCCCACTCCCTCCTCCACCCAGCCCCTGGACTACTTTTTGTCCCTGTGAGTTTGCCTGTCCTGGACATTGCATGTAAGTGGAATCATACAATCTGTGACCTTTTGTGACTGGTTCCTTGCACTTAGCATCGCATTTTCAAAGTTCGTTTATGGATCAGATCTCTATTCTTTTTTTACAGCTGAAAAATATTCTTTTGGCTAGAGTAGACCACATTCTGTTTATTTGTTCATCTGTTCGTGGACACTTGGGTTGTTCCCACCCTTGACTGTGATGAATACAGCCACTGCGAACATACCTGTACACGTCTTTGTTTGAACGCCTGTTCTCAGTTCTTTGGGGTAGATAGCCAGGGGTGGAATTGCTGGATCATGGGATAATCCTCTGTTTAAGGTAGGGGCGATATATCATGATGTCTGCAGTTCACTCTGAAGTGATTCAGGAAACAAACAGATGCACACACGTGTAGATAAAGAAAATGTGGTCAAATGTGAAAAGTTGATTAAATGGATGTATGAGTGTCCTTTGGACTATCCTTGCAACTTTCCTGTAGAGTTGGAGGTTTTCAAAATAGGAAGTTGGGGGACACCTGGGTGGCTCAGTGGTTGAGCATCTGCCTTCAGCTCAGGGTGTGATCCCAGTCCCGGGATCAAGTCCTGCATCAGGCTCCCTATGTGGAGCCTGCTTCTCCTTCTGCCTGTGTCTCTGCCTCTCTGTCTGTTTCTCATGAATAAATGGATGGAAATCTTTAAAACAACAACAACAAAAAAAAAAATAGGAAGTTGAAGGAAAGATTCTTCTTGGGGTGCCATGCACTTTGTGTAGCCTGGGATTGGCAGATAGGTCACACTGGCTGGTGGTCCCTTTGGTGCTGAGGCAAAGATTCATCAGAGCCCAGCAATGCTAGGCTGATGTCACCAGGGTAAAGGTCCATTCCCCTCTTATATGCACTAAGTGATTTGGGGGTGACCCTTTGGCACCCTGGAAATGTCTTTTGCTTCATTGGCCATTCTCCTAGTACTTTCCTCATAAATTGAGGATTGTTGCCTGAACTTGTTATTTCACGGGTTGCAAGGTGATGAGTTCTGTAATTATAGCACTGCTACTCCATTTACTAGCTGGAAATCCTTAAGGAAGTACTCCCCTTCATCAGCTTGAGCAGATTACCCTGAAATATGGTTCTTACAGGGAAGACGAGAACAATGATTCCCGGTGTTCAGGAATGATATCGCTGCTATAGATTTCTCCAATTATGGTGGCAAATGGCAGTTTCTGTTGTTTTTTATTTCTTTTTTGTGACTGTCACTGTGAATCGTGGATTTTCATAAATTCAGTTCATTCAATCAGCTAGGTTACTATTTATTTGGTTGCCCCCGTGGTGTCCTCTTCGGCCTGTGAGCTGGCCATCTGTCTCAGAAAGCCATCTTGATCTTTCATTTATTTTTTAAAAAGGTTTTATTTATTTATTCATGAGAGACACAGAGAGACAGAGGCAGAGACACGGGCAGAGGGAGAAGCAGGCTCTATGCAAGGAGCCTGATGTGGGACTCGATCCCGGGACCCCAGGATCATGCCCTGAGCTGAAGGCAGGTGCGTAATCGCTGAACCACCCAGGTGTCCCCATTTTGCTCCTTTAAATGACAAGATGTTCCAGGCTCATCTTCAACATTCCCTTCCTCAGACATGATTCTATCATTTCTCTAGAGTCCTGGTTCCTTTTAATGGGTAGTGGTATTTAGAGATCAGAATGTGGGCCCTGGAAGGAACACTTTAGATTATACCCAATGTGGGGCTCGAACTCAGGACCCAGAGATCAAGAGTTGCATGCTCTACTAACTGAGCCAGCCAGTTGCCCCAAGAAGGAACACTTTAAAAATTCACAAATCCCACCGTGAAAAACAGTCTGGCAGTTTCTCAAAAAGTTGGAGTCACCACACAACCCAGCGCTTCCAGTCCTGGGTATATACCCAAAAAAAATGAAAACAGGTCCATGCAAAAACTTGTTCACAAATGTTTGTAACAGCGCTATTTCCAATAGAAAAAGGTGGAGGCAACCCAAATGTCCACCAACTGATGGGTGGACAAACAAAATGTGGTCTATCCATGCAATGGAATATTATCCAACCATAAAGAGAAATAAAACTGATTCATTCTGCAACCTGGGTGAACCTTACAAACATGATGCTGAGTGAAAGAAGCCAGACCCCAAAGGCCACAGCTTGTGTGATTCCATTATATAAACAGGCAAATCCATAAACAAGAACTGGGTTAGAGGTTGCCTTCACCGGGGGCCAAGAGCTCACTTGGCCACTCCACTCTAGCAATGGCATGAATTAGGGGTGTGACCTTAACCGAAGCTTTTTAGGCTTAGGTTAGCTTTCTCCCCTTTCCTTGACCTCCTCACACTGTTCCTGTTTAATCTTGGTAAGATTCCGTGGAATTTTGCTGCAGATCCTTTTCTGGAGCCACAAGGGGTGTGAATCAGTTGACTAACGTTCCTTTCTTCCCTCTGGCTGTTTACAGCTTGTCCACAGTGATTTGGACCATCTGAAGAAGGATGTGGATGAGATCTGGAAAATAGTCGGGAAGCTCCTGATCGAAGGCCTCAGATTTGACCCCGATAGTGCCGCCGGCTTTAGGAAGTGAGCCTCTCCTGGGTAGGGGTGTAGTTCCCAAAGACCCTCTGGGAAGGGAGACCCTCTCTCCAGAGGGGGAACCAGAGTGGTGTCCCTGTGGATTCTGGGAGGAAGAATTGCAGAGCTGTGGACCCAGGGAGAGGGGATGGGGCTTCCCAGCTTGGGGGAGGAGGCAGAGGGCACCCAGGGGCTCAGAGGAACCCAGGAACACATCTGCTCCCAAGCCCTCTTGCCTTGAAAGACACCAAGCCTCATGGACGGTAGGGGCCATGCAAGATCTCCCTGGGAGCCTGGGGATCTGAGACTGGAGCCCTGTTGCTATGTCCCCCACCCCATCCAGATAGTTTCAGTGTTGGAGGGGGGAGAGGTCGTCCGTCCTCAGATGACCCCTCATGCTTCCCAATGTCGCCTGTGAAGGGCAGCTTTCCAGAAGGCCCCTGATGTTAAAGACTTAGTCCATCGTGCTTGGGGCAGGAACACAAACTGCACCCACTATAGCCCCACCTGTGCCCCGGGCAGCCGCAGGATAGGCACCAGCAGAACTAGCAGAGCTGACTTGCGCTGAGCTGGGCCGGGGCAGCAGGGGAGTAGGGTGTGGAGGGGAGTCCTGACCCTGGGGCGCAGACCCGCCCCCACCGAGCCCGCAGCTGAGGGCCGCCTGTCTTCCAGGAAACTGTTTGAGCGGGTGAAGTGCATCTCCTGCGACCGGCAGGTGGAGCTGATGACTGGCCCGTGAGTACCGCCGCCAGGAGGTGCCCAGGCCCCCCACCCCCACCCCGGGTTCCCCTGCAGGGGGGCTGCCCTAGCCCGGCAGGCCTGCCAGGGCTCTAGGTCCAGCATTCCCATGTTCATCCCTCCATATACAGCAGTCTGTACCCTTCATTCCATTTGCTCCTGGGCAGGGGCACTGGGATCCCCTCCTTGGCCAGCCCTGCCTGGTGCCCGCTGCATCTCCAAAAGCACAAGGATAGAAGGAAACTGGGGAAGAGCTGAACTTTGTGGGAGCTCCTCGCGCATATTTTTAGAGTCTAAAACTTCTATATATTTAGGTGAAATTCACATATACCATTTTATTTATTTATTTGGGGGCGGGGGCAGAGGGAGAAGCAGGCAGGGAGCCCCATGCCCGGCTGGATCCTCAAACTCTAGGATCATAACCTAACCCGAAGGCCAACACATGATGGAATGAGCCACCCAGGCGTCCCTACACAAACCACTTTAAGGTGAACAATTCTGGGGCATCTGGGTGGCTCAGGGGTTGACGTCTGCCTTTGGCTCAGGTTGTGACCCCGGGGTCCTGGGATCAAGTCCCACATCGGGCTCCCTGCAGGGAGCCTGCTTCTCCCTCTGCCTGTGTCTCTGCCTCTCTCTCTGTGTCTCTTATAAATAAATAAATAAAATCTTTTAAAAAATAGGTAAATTCATTTAAAAAATAGGTAAAGTGAACAATTCAGTGGCATTTGATGCGCATTCACAATGGTATGCAACTGTCACCTCTAATTCCAAACCATTTTCCTCTCCCTAAAAGGAACCCCCAAACTCATTAGCAGCCACCCCCATTGCCTCCTCCCTTTGGTCTCTGACAACAACTAATAAGCTGTGTTTCATGGATTTGCCTATTCTGGACATTTCATATGAATGAGGTCCCACAACATGTGCCTTTCTGTTCTGGCTTCCCTCACTGAGCATCATGTTCTCGAGGTTCATGCACAGTGTGGTGGATGTCTGTGTTCATCCCAGTTTTATGGCTGAATCCTATCACACTATATGAGCAGCCCACATTTTGTTTATCTACTTACATGCTGATGGACATTTGGGTTGATTCATCCCTTTGGCTCTTGTGATTAGTGCTGCTGTGAACATGCATGTTATGTAGATCTGTTCCAACACCTGCTTTCAGTTATTTTGGGTATAAACCTGGAGGTGGAAGTGCTGGGTCACATGGTCCCTCAATGGTTAACTCTTTGAAGAACCACCAAACAACACTCTAATAGGGTTTAAGAGCCCGAATCTTGTAGGCCCCCGCTTCCTCCAGGTATTAGCCTGGCCCCCTTGACCCGTGAAGCTCACCACCCTACACCAGTCCGGTTTGTGGAGGGGCTTTGAGCCTATCCCCAGAGTTTTTGGTTAAAGCCACAGATATACCTAGCTGAGCATTATTTATGGTATTTTTTAAATCTTTTTTTAAAGATTTTATTCGAGAGAGAGAGAAAGAGAGAGAGAGAGAGAGGCACATACACAGGCAGAGGGAGAAGCAAGCTCCACGCAGGGAGCCGGATGCAGGACTCAATCCTGGGACTCCAGGATCACACCCTAGGCTGAAGGCGGCGCTAAACCGCTGAGCTATCCAGGCTGCCCTATTTATCGTGTTTTTCAAAGAAGAAAAGGAAACAATCTGAAGTGGTAAATGAGTTACAGTACATTTATGTCAGCCAATATAAGTCATGTTGTAGGAGGAGGACTAATGGAAGCTTCTGAGATGCGGAAATGGTTATAGCTCACTGTCCAAGGCAGTAGCCGCTGGCCACATGCACCTGAGAATGGGATTTAAATTTTATTTAAATTTAACCATAAATTTAAATAGCCTCCTGTGGCCAGTGGTTGTCATATTGGATAACACAGTTGTGAATTATTTAGGGGCCTGGAAAAATGTTTACAATACCTTAAATGAGAAAATCAAGTAGTTTGTGTGTTATGATCCTATTTTTGTTAAAAAAAAATACATAGATAGGGAAAATTACTGGAAGGACACATCAAAATATTTGTCATGTGGTTACAGAGCTTTTTGTGTTTATTCTTTGTATCCTTTCTAAAATGCTGACAATATGTATTACTTTAAAATGTCACTGCAGGGATCCCTGGGTGGCGCAGCGGTTTGGCGCCTGCCTTTGGCCCAGGGCGCGATCCTGGAGACCCGGGATCGAATCCCACGTCGGGCTCCCGGTGCATGGAGCCTGCTTCTCCCTCTGCCTGTGTCTCTGCCTCTCTCTCTCTCTCTGTGACTATCATAAATAAATAAAAATTAAAAAAAAAATAAAAAATAAAAATAAAATGTCATTGTGAGGGGCACCTGGGTGGCTCAGTAGTTGAGTGTCTGCCTTTGGCTCAGGGCGTGATCCTGGCGTCCTGGGATTGAGTCCCACAGCAGCCCCCTGTGAGAGCCTGCTTCTCCCTCTGCCTATGTCTCTGCCTCTCTTCCTGTGTGTCTCTCATGAATAAATAAAATCTTTTTTTTAAATAAATAAAACCTTAAAAAATGTTATTGTGGCTTAAATAATACAGTAAAGCATATAAATGTGATACAACCTGATGAATTTTTGCATGTGTGCACAGATCAACATGTAGAACAGTTCCGCTGCTCAGAAAACTGATATTTTTTTTTTTGTCGTTGTTGAGGTAAATTACACATAACACAGATTAACCACGTTAAAGTGGACAGGTCAGTGGCATTTAGTACATCAACAATATCGTGTAACCACCGCTCTTCGTGCCAGAACATTACCACCAACTTTCCAGAAGGAAACCCCAGCCCCATTTGTGACCACTCCCCATCCCAGACCCCAGCCCCTGGCAACCTCCAATCTGCATTCTGTTTCTAGGATTTACCTGTTCTGGCATTAGTTTTATAATGAGAAAAGTTGTTCTTTTTTTTTTTTTAAGATTTCAATTATTTATTCATGAGAGGCACAAAGAGAGAGGCAGAGACACAGGCAGAGGGAGAAGCAGGCTCCCTGCCGGGAGCCCAATGTGGGACTCGATCCCAGGACCCCGGGGTCACAACCTGAGCCAGAGGCAGACTCTCAACCACTGAGCCACTGAGATGCCCAGAACAGCTGTCCTTTATGACTGTCAAAGATGACTGGGGCCCTAGCACAGTGGTGCATGTCTCTAGCCCGAAGGCTGGGTTTAAGGGTGGACTTCCTGGAGGAGGAGGGAGCCTGGGGCCGTCTGCTGGCCGCTCGGGCCTCCCGCTGAACACTTGTCCTCCTACAGGCAGCTCATCACCATCCGCAAAGGCCACCTGCTGTCGCGGCTGCGGCCAGCCAGCGCCAACACCTATGAGTACCTGCAGTGGCAACAGCTGAGGTGGGTGGGCTGGGGTCTGCTGCACAGAGGCACCCGGGAGACCCCGGCCCCGGGCCCCGGGCCCCGCCAGCCGTCTGCAGGGGAGCCATTTGTGGAGGTGGCTGGGCAGCAAACGGCCCGAGGGCATCGTGGCCCAGAGGAATGGGCACATTCATTCGGCACCCTTAATGGACAGGGACCGTGGGGGAAGGAGTCTGGTCTGGATCCCACGGGCTCCCTGAGCTAGGATTGCCGCCGCCACCAGGAGGAGGCCCGGCTGTGGCTGCACGCAGGCTGTGCTAAGCGCCTTGCCCTGCCTGGCCTCTGCGGGTCCTTGGGCCTTCCCTTTGGGGTGCATTCTGTCCTCATCACGCCTCATGGTTGAAGGAAATGAGGTTCAGGGAACTTCAGCCACCTGCTCCTGGTCATAGCTAGTAAGTGGCAGAGCTGGCACCTAGACCTGTGAGTCCCATCACACCTGGCAGGCTCCTTGGATCCCAGCCCCCTTCAACCTCCTGACATCCCACTGCACCCTGGGCTGAGGTGGGGACGTGAGGGCTGACCAACAATGAAGCTGCGGAGAGGAGATGGCTGTGGAGGCCTGTGCTCGACACTCCCACCTTCTTGTGCCTGACTCCTTGAGATCAAGGATGAAAAGCCTTCTGTTGGTGGCCCAGACCAGAGCCCCCGGGGATGGCTGAGTCTGGGGGAGCAGAGGCCTTTGTTTCTCCCCTCTGCCCCGACTGTGTTTGTCCATACCCACCCAGCAGCCCCAAGGACCCCCAAACCCAAGCTGGAAGAAATTCCAGTCTGGCCTTGCTACTGCGCAGGCCCTTGGGCCCATCCTGATGCTCCTCTGGGGCAGAGGGTCCTCCCAGTGACTGCTGTCTTACCCACCTGAACCCAGGGAACAGCGGCGGCTACAGCGTCTCCAGGACCTTGGAGACCAGAACAGGAGTCTGGATCTGCTGAGGTCCCAGCAGGACTGGGGTGATGGCCCCGGCAAAGATACCAACCTCAAGTTCAACTCATATGACTTGTCAACACTCTACCCCTACGGGGACCCCGAGATGTTGGACTATGACACCGTGAGTGTGGCCAACGCCCTGGGTGAGGGAAGCTCGGGATGTGGGGGGGAGGCGGGGGTGGCTGTGCTCTGTCTGCTGGGCCTCTGGGCCTCTGTGTGTCTGAGAGGGGCAGGCAAGGACACTCCCTGACCTGAGCCTGGGCCATCCAACAGGCCGAGGTGGACATTCTGGGAGTGGATGGGATCCTGTACAAGGGCCGAATGAGCAGCCAGGATGGGCCACGGCCTCTGACCAGTGTTGAGAAGGAGCTGGCAGGTGAGAGGTGTCAGGGCTTCCTGGGAGCCCCTGTCCTGGGTGCCCTGGCTTTGCTGGGGAGTAGGGGGGATGCAGGCAGGGCTCAGAGCTGGCCCCATCCCGGAGTGGGGGGTCCTGACACAGCCATTTGCAAAAATGGGGTTCTGTATGCCAGGCACTGCATCAGGCACTGGGGAGGTGGGGAGAGGGCAGGGGAAAGAAAGATGGGCTGTGGCCCCCGGGTTTCCACAGTGAGTGGGAGAAGCAGACTGTAAGCAAATAACCTGAGGGCTAAGATCTATTGTTTAGAACAGCAGTGAATAGCTGACCCAAGGCCAGGACCCTGGTGACAAAGGATGCTGGCCTAGGGAGGAGTGCCAGGTGGCCTCACAAAAGAGGGATCCTGGGCTGGGGACAGGAGAATTGTGAGAAGGACTGATGAAGGAAGGGGTTAGCTGGGTACGGTGGGAAGAGAGCAGTCCAGGTGGAGGACATAGCGGGTCCAAAGATCCCGTGGTGGCTGGAAGGCAGGCACAGCTGGAACTCAGGAAGGTGGGGTGGGGGTTGGGAAGGGGTTGGGCATGATGAAGAGACGTGGACAGACCCTGGAGGCCTGTGTCTTAGGTCCCAGGCATGTGAGGGTTGGGTCGGTGAGGGGGGTGGAGGGGACACATGGAATCAGTTCCTCTGTTACCCCAACTCCAGCTGGCTCCTACCAGGGACCCAAGGCCTCGGCTCCAGCCGTGGGCCAGCGGTCCCAGAAGGGTACCTTCTCTGCACAGCCTTTGGGGATGTTCTTCGGGGAAGAGGAATTCTCAGTTTTGCCTGGCTGGGAGCCATACACTGCCCCATGGCAGGGTGGGGGGTGACCCTGGAGCCCCAAGGTGGCGAGAGGGTTAAGTTCTGCCCACAGTATTTGTTCTCGCCCCATATTGTTCCCATTGACCTGAGGACGAAATACCAGACACATAAGGAAAGCAAAGGGGACTGTTTAATTGGGGTGCTGGTCAAAGGACAAAGAGCCCACGTTAGTGTCCTGGCGCGACCGCAACAAATGGCCACAGACTGGGGAGCTGGAGACGACAGATGTTCTCACAGTTCCGGAGGCCTGCAGTCCAAAATCTAGGTGTCCCCGGGCTGTGCTCACTCCCGGGGCTCTAGGGAAGGCTCCTTCCTGCCTCTTCCAGCTTGTGGCGGTACCACGCAGTCCTTGGCTTGTTGTCCTGTCCCTCCAGTCTCCGCCTCTGTCTTCCCGTGGTCTTTCCCTTGGGTCTTCTCTTCTGTCTCCTTTAAGGACACTTGTCATTGGGTTTAGGGCCCAGCTTAACCTGGGATGAGCTCATCTCAGGATCCTTAATTACATCCGAGAAGACCCTTTGTCCAAGTAAGGTTATGTTCATAGGTTCTGGGGACATATCTTTTTGAGGGCCGCTGGTCAACCCTCTGCAGCTCCCTGCCCTGGCCCAAGTGGGTGGGACACCGCCTGAGGCCTGCAGTCCTCTAGCACGGATCTGGCCCACGTGGCATTAATGGCTGCCCCCGGACAAGGCTCGGCCCCTGGCAGCAGCTGCTGTTAGGAGGAGGCTCAGGGAAAGCTGGGTCACCAGGCAGGGTAATAACAACGGTGGCTAATATTTAATGAGTCCCGATTTCTTGCCTGCACTGCCTCTTTTCAGCCGGCAGCAACATGCTGAGGCATTTTGCAAACGGGCAGGTGAGGGCCGCATGCACCCTTGGTGGAGGGGCCCTTACCCGCTCATGCATGGGACAGGGCCCTCTGCCCACCTCCCCTGGGCTGTCACCTGGGGGGGGGGGCTTCTGTCCCCATGGCCCATTCATTCTGAGACCCATGCAGCAAAGCAGGACTGAATCACAGCACCTCAACTGCTTTGTCCTGCTACAAGCACCAAAGTCTAACTGGCATCAGGGATCCATCAGAAATCTGCCTGTGGTCAGATCTGTCAACAGGATTGCTCTTATCCCTCATTTATTTACTCAAAAGAACATTCTAATCCAAAACACTCTCAAAATCTAAACCCAAACGAGCCAGCGTGAGCCCCGCCCAGGTCCAGGTTGGCCCCGGATGTGTTCGTCCATTCAGATCACCGTCCAACGTGCCCTGCCCTGTACTCACTCAGCCCTTTGCCAAGCCACAGGAGACACTGAGGGGCACCTGGCCGGCCTGTGCCCTCCAGACGCTTGCACTGAGTCAGGAGCTCAGGCCAGGGCAGAGGAACACCGGTGCCCCCACAGGAGGGGGGTGGACGCACTGAGGCTGGTGGTCAGCAGGCTGGACTTTCAGAGGAGTGCCCTGGAAGGAAGGCTAAGTTCAGGCAGGATCAGGGAGGACAGAGGAGGCGGCGGCAGGGGCGGGGTGCCAGCCTCAAACCTCCTCACCTAAAACACGCACCACGACCCTGTGACCCGGCCGCTCCCCAGCTCAGAACCGTCAGTATGAGTTCCCTATGGCTGCTGTAACCAGTTTCCGCAAACCCAGTGGCTTAACCCAAATTTATTTTATCTTAGTTCTGGAGGTCAGAAATCTGAAATGAGTCTTACAAGGGCTAAAATCAAGGTGTCAGCAGGGCCGGTTCCCTCTGAGGCCCTGGGGAGACTCTGTTTCTGCCCCGTTTCCACCTGCCAGGGGCCTGCTGCGTTCCTGGTCTCACGGCCCCTTCCTCTATCTCAAGATGTGCTCCTCCAGCCTCTCTTCCGTGCTCCCCTCCCCTCCTCTGACTCTCACCCTCTGGCCTCCCTCCAGAGCCTTGCGATTACGTTGGGCCATCTAGATACTTCAGGATCCTCTCTGTCTCGGGCTCCTTAACTTGACGCCATCTGCAAAGCCCCCTCTGCCAAGTCAGGTGACACAGTGACAGGTTTTGGGGATTAAGACGGGCACATTTCAGGGGCATTGCTATCAGAGTCCAGGCTCCTCGGCCAATCTGGAGGGGGCTCCCTGTCCCCCCTCTGCCCCTCCCTCTAGCGTCTCAGAACTGTTTGCTCGTCTCTCAGTGAGCCCGGCTGTCTCCCACTCGTGGGCCTCTGCCCAGGTTGTGTGCCTGCCCCGAAGCCCTGGAGAACCTTTCTCATCTGCCGGAGCTTAGGGTCCCCTCCTCTTGAGAGCCTCCCCACTCCTCAGCTTCTGGCTGTCCCAGAGTTGGGAAGTTGGGAGGGTCCAGGAGGAGCGGGTGTGGGGGTCAGGTGGTGAGTTCAGGCTCTGACCTATAGAGCCCAGGGCATCAGCGGGACCTCAAGGGGGGTGCTAGGTCAGAGCTGGGTTTCCAAGCCTCACTGAGTCTCAATTTTGAAACTGGGCCCTGGTCCCCTGTCCTTCACCTGGAAGGGAAGCAGTGTGACAGTCTCACTGGTCAGCAGGTTGGCTGGTCCTGCCTCAGATCTGTGGAGGGATCCAGGTTCCAAGTGGGGGGTCAGAGCAGGGGGCCAGAGAGTACCCCTGAACTGGACATTTGCTGTACGCAGAACCCACAAAGCACACTGGGGTTAGTTCAGGCTAAAGGAACAGCTGATGCAGACCTTGAGTGAGGAATGAGAGTAGTTTGGGTTTGGTGGTGGGGGTGGTTAGCAGAGGGATGGGGGAGGGGGAGCAAGCAGAGACCCTCAGATAATAAGCAGACCGGAGAAGGTCCAGGCCAGCCCGATGGGGAGCTTCTGAACAAATGCTGCGCTGCACTGCCCTGAGCCAGGCCCTGGGCCCCCTCAGTGACCAGAGCTGCTAACAACCCCTGAGGGGCTAACAGGTGGAGGCTCGTGGCTCCCTTTGCTCCTGCAGCTGGAACAGTGAGTTTGTCCATAAAAGGGAGATCCACACAACACACCCTGCTGCCACCTGGCCCTGGTCATTCAGCTGGTTGTTCCCGAGCCCTTACTGGTGCCAGGGGTCTCTTAGATACCACTGGGAAGACTCAATGTGGACAAGATAAAGTCACTGCTCCCTTAGAGTTTCTACCCCATGGAGGATCATAAGTATAAATAAACAAGAAGTTCAGTAAGATGAAACATGGGAGTGGGGGAGGGAATGGCTGGGGAGAGGTGTTTCCTATTGAGCTGAGGATTCTTCGAAGAAAGGACATTCGAAGCAGAAATTGTCAGGACACCCAGGGAAGGACAGAGGAACAGTCTGGTGTCCTTCACAGGAAGGAGCTCAGTGCCCCCGTGACTCGTCCTGAGGGCCAGGCCTGGGCCCTCCAGGCCCTCCCTGCATCTTTCCTCACTCTCACCGCCTCCCCCACTCCCATGGTCCCACCTCTTCTGGTGCAGCCTTTGGTCTGGGCGGCCAGTTGTGGAGATTCTTGACTGGACACCGAGAAAGGGATGCCTTGGGTGAAGGACGGAGCCAGAACCCAAGAGGCCAAATATTGTGTGATCCCCGGTCTGTGGGTCTGTCGGTTGGGAACAGGCATAGGGCTGGGACAAGAAGCAGACTCCTGGCCGCCAGGGCCTGGGGGAGGCAGCAAAGGGAGTGAGTGCCTTGTGAGCACCCGGTTTCCTTTGTGGGGCGCGGGCTGTTCTGGAACTAGCAGAGGCAGTGGTTGCACACCACTGGGAATGAACTTAATGTCACTCAAGTGCTGGCTTCAAATGGTTATTTCGTGTGGCGCCCGGCTGGCTCAGTTGGTGGAGCATGTGACTCTTGATCTTGGGATTGTAGAGATCACTTAAAAATTTTTTTTAAATAAATGGTTAATGTGGCTTGTGAATTTTATCTCAAAAAAAAAAATTCACACACGCACATGATGAGGGACAGGAAGGTGGGGGTGGAGACACCGCGGCCACCTGGACCCAGTGGGAACGTCTATGGCCCGAGAAACTCTAGACCCCAGGAGGTGTGAGGAGGGGTGTTCCCCAAAGGCTGAGGGGCAGGTGTGTGGGGGAGGCGGGCAGGCCTGGGAAACTATGGGGCAGGCGTGGGGGGGGCTCCGCAGGACACTCACCTGGTCCTGCCTCTTCCTTTTCAGCTGTGAAGGTTCCGCACCCCCCAGCTCGGAACCCCTACGAGCGGGAAAGCTCCAGTAGCTTATATAGTGCCATCTACCCGCGTGAGTACCAGCCCTCCCAATCCCAGCCCAGCCCGGGGATCGCTGCCCCACCTCAGGCCTCTCTCCCCTGTCCTGCCTCGCCAGGGCACAGGAAGGCCCCATGGGTACCCCCACACACACACCCAGCTCCTGGCCGTGGCCTGCAGCCCTCCTGGGCTCGTAGCTGACCTTCCACGGGGCTTCCTGCCCAGGCCGTCCCAGGGCCCGCGGGTCTCTAGCTAGCTGCCAGGGTGGGATAAGGAGCCCGTTCGTGGTCCTGGGCCTCTCTGCTGGGGCCCCATGAGCCAGGCCGTGGGGGCTCCCCTGAAGCCTCTCCCCTGCACCAGCATCGTGCGTGCCCAACAGCTCCCTCGTCTTCCCCTGCGGCCCTCAGCCAAGCTCGGGAGGTGGGCACGGCTCCCCCGGCTTAGGCGTGGAGCTGAGGCACAGCAACCCTGATCCTCGGCTCCAAGTCCATGGCCAGGGCAGCATCTGTCCTGGTGTCATTTATCCGGGGTCAAACCGCCCCACCCCGGGGAGGCTTAGGGTGCCTGGGACTGGGTGAGCCATGTCGTGGCTTCTCGTTTCTTTATCGGGCATGATCCCATCAGGCCAGCCTCACCCCCACCCCTGGGAATGCTCCTGGGACATCACGACTCTCCTGCCCCTCCCAGCCCTGCACCCCCACAGCAGTGTGCGCTCGGCTGCCCCGGGCCCCCTGCCTACGATGCCAGCTCGGCCTCCGTCGCTGCTGCCCCTGCCACTGCTCCCGCCACTGACACCCTCCCTGCGGGCCGCCCAGCAGGCTCCAGGGCCCGTCCGGCACCCACGGCCCTGAGCCAGCATGCAGCCCTCCGAGGAGCCCACCAATCCGTGAGCCCCGCGCGCCGCACCCCTACCTCCCCTCCCCTTCCCTGCCCGAAGAGCCTGGCTCTGAGCCTGGCCTGGGAGCCTCCATAAGGGACTCCTTTTGACCCACTGGCCATTTTAACTCTATGCATAGAAGTCCACACAATACAATCCTCCTTATCCTACACTTCGTGGAGAACACAGCTTTCTAGATTGAATTTTCCAGTAAGCCAACATAATTTCTTGACCAGTTTTCAACACACCAGCTAACGTGCTTTTAAATACAGTCACTTTCCTTTTTATTTTGCTGAAATGGCTCCATCAGAGTCTGTTCCAATTACAGCTACTGCCCGTGCACGTTTTCGTTGGGGGCTATTATTTCTAACAAGACCAAGTTTCTCACGGGAACCAAGTTTTACTGAGTGCATCCTTTTTTTTATTTCATGTTGATTATTCCCACCAGTAATTACGGTTATGAATTGGATATTTTTAAAACCTGTTTATATTTACTTTCTGGCCAGTCCGTGAGGAGCTTAGAGCAGCGGCCCTGGAATATTCTGGGACTGCTCTCTCCCACCGAGGGCCGGAATCGCACAGGCCTGACGTCCTGGGCCCCGTGCTAACGGCCCGTACACTCAGTGGAAGCCACACAGACCAGGCCACAGTGTCCCACTGGCGGGTTAGCGGGCAGCTCCGGAGCGCAGACTGCGCACCTGCCTCTGCCACTGTGCACAGGGCTTGAACCCCCCCTCAGGCAGCTCATCCTTCCTTCTCCCTCCCGACTCCTCTCCCTCCTCCTTTCCGCTCCCCGGCTCTCTGTGCCCTCTGTGCCTCTGTACTTCTGACATGTCTACCGCATTACACAAAGTAAAAAAAACTTCCCTCTGTGTCGCTTTGGGGCACGACTCTCCCTCTCACCAACATCCACCAGAGGACCCCAGGGCCCCTGAGCGGGTAAGGGAGTTGGGGGGCGGTGTGCTGCCCAGGGGTCCCACGGAGGAGCCGGGGCTGCAGGACGCCCGAGCCTGGCGGCCATCAGTCTGGGCACACAGCATGCCGCTCCTTCCTAATGTTCCCCGGCTCCTTATCTGTGCCCACTTCCAGACCCTGACTTCTCTTTTCTTTCTTCAAGGACTGCGTCTAAATGAGGCCAAGCTATTCCTGGGGCCGACCTAGACCCTGCACCCACCCCCATGTCACACACAGATGAGTATTTTTGGCAACTTCTCCCCAGAATAAAATCTTTCACTTTTTTGACTGTGGGTGAGGGTGACTGGCCTGGTGCCCTCTTTAGAGGGTGGTCTTGTCTGTCCCACGTGGGTGGGGGAGACCTGCTGGTCCCTTCTCAGGCCCCCACCCCAGGGTCAGTCTCTCGGAGGCACCGGCCAGAACCACCGTGGCCGAGTCCCAGCAGAGAATCAATAGCAAACCTTGCCTCTGCTACATTTTCCGTCGTGGCAAAAGTCCTAAGGTGCCCTAGCCCTGCATTCTGGGAAGACAGGGGGGTTGAGGGCAGGGGTGGTGATGTGACCTGCCCAGGTTTGCTCAGGGAGGCCTTGGCTCTCCAGCCTTCCAGGCAGGGAGGGAGGCGTGGCCCGGGCTCAGGCAAAGCATCCTGTGCCAGGCTTGTCCCCTGCGGCCCTGGCCCTCAGGCACCCCACACACCCAGGCTCAGACCTTCCTATCCATCCCACTGTCCCCTGAAAGCTGCCTCCCCAGCCATTTCTCAGTTTTACAAAAGGAATCTGTGCTTCAGCTGGTTCCTGTAGCCCAGGCATCAAGGAGTGAGGTCCAGGTGGGTCGCCGCATAACCATTCATAACCATTCACATTCCAACAGGCTCCTTGGTGTTTCGGAAGGTGGGGACACCAATGCAGCCAGCCAGGAGCAATGCCAGAGGACAACAGTCCTGTCTCCCTCAGAGGTTGTGGGGAAATAAGCTGGCTGGCCTTTGGCCTGGTGGCAGGTGGGAGCTGCAGGGAGAATGCTCGCCTCTCTAAGGCTGGAGCCTGCAGGAAGCTTCGAGGGCAGGTGTCTCAGAGGGGGAGCCCACCCCATCCCTGCAGGCAAAGGTGCTTGGGGAGCAGAAAGAATGAGGATGGGGTCAGCAGAGTGGGAACCTCACAGGGTCCTGGGCCCAGCCTCCTCCTCTGTCAGGGGGACATGGCTCCTGGCCTGGGAGGCAGTGGCAGTGCCAGGTTGGGCAATAAGGTCCCCGTCTGCCTGGGACAGACAGGGACGAGCCGGTCATGTGGGGAGGGAGGCGCACAGCCTGGCCTGGTGTGGCGCTGCGCAAATGAGTTGGGCAGGAAGGGGAGAGAGACGCCTCTCGCCAAGCAGAGGGTCCTGCTTTGAGGTGCTGCTGGAATGGAGTTGCTGAGTGGTGACCCCCCTGCACCCTCATACGTGGCCCTACAACCCACCAACACAGGTCAAAGGGTCACTGACCATTTCTCCCTTTCAAAGACCGTGAACTCCTTAACTCTAAGGTATAAACAACCAATGACAGCAATGTGTATCCTAAACAAGATGATCTGCCCTGGGAAAAATGCACTGCCAGTGCCCAGGACAAGTCACCAGAAGAGGGAAGTTGAGGCACTGGCAGTGGAGGAAAGAGTCCCTCTTTCTGTGACCTCTTACAGACACTAAAATCAGCGCACACCCGCCTCCCTGGCTGGACCCCTGACTATCCCCGGTCCTGGGGGGTCTGCGTAGAGAACCACCAAACACATACCACACACAGAGAGCCAAAGTAAGGCCTTTCTTCTCAGTCCCCCTTCTCCTCTTGCTCATGGCTTCACCAGGAGCCACAGAAAACCATTCCAGCAACATGTGCAGCTGTTGCCCCCCAGAAGCCGAGAAGTGGCCCTGGAAGGCAGAGCAGAACCCCGCCAACAGGCTCCCAGCACCTTGTGCTGAGCCAGTGACACAGCCTCGGCCATCCTGGGGCTCCCCTAAAGGAGTGCAGTTATTCTAAGGCTCATTTGAAACACGTACGTTGCCCAAACAGAAGCTGTGGCTAAGCAACCGAAGACCTTTCCAAACGCAGGAATTGGAAATAGCCTTGCCTCAAAAGATCTCCTTTTGTCCAGCCCAGGCGGCCTCCCCAGCACTGACCCCGGGAAGCAACCAGACTCAAAGCACTCATCTGTCCTCAGATGAGTCCTGCTATAAAGGCCCCTCAGAGGCTTCCAGGCCCAAGGCAGCCCCGCCCACTGCTGGGCTTGGGGGCCAGCCACAATGTGTTCTCAGAGAACCCTGGATGGACCCTGGGGACCCTTCATCCGAGAGAATCTGGGAGAACAAGCACTTCCCTTCTCGAAGCTGTCTGAAGGAGGAGCCCTGCCTGCCCACAGAAAGCACTTCAGGGTCTCCATTCATCCACCAGCTGTCCCTCCAACCCCCCCCCCCCCCCCCCCCGCAGGCCTTTCACTTTGGAAGCTCTTCCTGGTGCAAAACAAGATCCCCTCCAGATTTCAACCAATTAGGAGACAGGAACCCGACACACGTCTGTGGCCACTGGAGTGGGTTGGCCGACCAGGGGCAGGCTGGCTGCGTCCCCACTGTGACAGTCGGCTTCAGCCAGTTACTGACAGTCGGCTTCAGCCAGTTACGGCCTGGAAGGAACCTGGGCCATCTGGTTCATGAATGTCCAAGAGAAGCCAGAAGCGAGACTTTTGGTGCAAACTCTCCCAACTTTAACGTATTGGCAGGCCATTCAGAAAGACATGGAACATCACGGAAGCCAAGCAGCAGACCCCTAAGTTAGTGCGCCCAGGTGCTTTCACGGCAGACTGGAAAGAAACCCCCACTGCCTGTCACCTGGGGTGGCCAGACCTTCACCCCATGGGCTGCCACATCCGCTCTTCAGAAAGGAGACTGTTGGAGCTCCAATCATCCTTCCAAGCAGTGTCATGAATGCGAAGGTTTTTATAACAGAACTTTGGAAACAGTCATTTGAGCTGCAGTCTGGCAGGTAGGTAGGGGTGACCGTGCCCAGAAGAGGCTGGGCTTTGAGGTAACCAAGCCAGTTTCCCATGTGTGCTGCTGGGGCAGCTCCCAGGAGGCGCGATGAAGGACAGCAGAAGACAGCTGGGTCTGTTCCCTTCTGTTCATGCACCAGCACCTTTGCTTTCCAGCCAGTTTACATTTGAACGTGTAACAGTTATGGACTCCTTCAGCTTTGCTCCTGATCTTAGAGAAGTGGAGGAAGGTTCCAGGTTCCGTTCTCACCTCTGGCTTCCCCTCCAGTTCACCTGGCCCGCTTCTGCAGCCTTTCCCTTGCTGGTGAGATGCGCAGACCAGGGGCTTCCAGCACACCAGGCAGGGCCTCTGCATTTGCTGGAAAGTACTAGGAGGCCCCAGCCCTGCCCTCTACCCCTCTTGCTCTGGTTCCCACCTTGCTTGGGGCACTGATGAAAAGCCCGATTCCTGCGCCCTCCTCCAGAGCAGTTGCCTCAAGCACCCAGGGGTCCTTTATACTCTACAGGTTAGGGGGTCTTGAATCACAATCACTTGGGAGCTGTTTGCGCAACAGCTTTGACATACAGTTGATATTCTCTTGTTTACCCTTCAAGGTAAATGATTAAGTGGTTTTTATTTTAATGATCCACCAATATCCTGGGGGACGTTCAAAATAATACCATCAAGGCTTCTCCCCAGGGACTCTGATGCTGTGGGATCTGGGAGTCTGTGGTTTGTCTTTTTACGGAGCTCCCTGGGGGCTCTACTGTGCAGCCAACTATGGGAACCCCGGGTTTAGAGGACATTTTGCCATGTCCAGATACTTTCCATTGTCACAACTAGGGGATGCACTGGCATCTCGTGGGAAGGCCAGGAGGCTGGCCGACATCCCACAGTGCATAGGACTCCCCACAGCAGACAGTAATCCAGCTTCAAATGTCCAGTGCCCAGGCTAGAAAACCAGGACCTATAGGAACCCCAAGTCCTTCCAGCCTGATGTGACCACCTGACACTTCCAAGCCAGCCCGGTGGCCCCCTGGAAACAGAAATGCACCTCACCCCCATCAGATCAGCACTCAGCAGAGATGTTGTGCAGGAACACTGCTCAATGTGGAGCTTGAGGACCTGCCCCTCTGACAAATGCCTGAGTAGCAAGACTGTGGTTCATTTACAGGCCACCCAGTGGTCTGCCCAGGGGTGAGCCTCATTCTCCACGAGTGCAGATTCTCGATGGTAGTCTCCAGTCTCTGACACATACAGCCATCCCAGGCATGGGCTCCCTGGGATAGCCCAGGCACATGCACCCCTACAGGGCAGATAACCGCCCCCCGCATACTTGCCTCTGCATCTCTCCTGCCCCTTGACGGGGCTGTGTGGCAGTTACCTCAGCATTTTCTCCCATCAGAAGACTGTGGTGAAGAGTCAGGAGGCCCAAGATACCCTCCCCCTTACCCTGCCCCTCTTCACTCCCTCCCCTCTCCATGAGGAGCACACACAGGGCTGTGCTCCCCCTCTGGACCTCCTCGGGGAGGCCACTAGAAGGGGGATTTCAAGGTGAGCACACAATTCCAGAAGCAGCAGCTGCAGCAGGGGCCTGGCAGGGGGGTCTTCAGTAATAGCCAGAGAGCAGAGTGGCCCCCGGAGCCATGCAGGGTCCAGCAGGGTGGAGACTGAGCTGGGGAAGCCAGGTAACGGCCCGGGTGCCCAACACCACTGGAGTATCCTCGTCAGAAGGCCCCATCCCTAGGAGCAAGGGCACGGCTGCCTGTGGGGAGCGCAGACACATTAAGCAGACCTTCTGAAACAAGAAACTCTCTGATCCAGGCACCACCTGCAAAAGATCAAGGTGCTGACTGATGGGCTGGGTGCCCGGGTGGGCTCCTGTCAGGTCTGCTGGTTCTGAGGGTTGGGCCGAGACCTTGGCCTCCCCCCTTCTCCAAAGCTCAGCCCCTCACAAGGGGTACAAGGCTGAGACTGCCACAGGAAGCCCCTTCCCCATCAAGGGCAGCCAAGGGGAGGGGACTCAGAGTGGAGCACCCCTGGCTCCTCCCTTGGGGTGAGAGCAGGTGTCTGCCCCAGCCCAGGTCGGGAGCAGCCCAGGGTCTTATCGCCCCTGGGTTGCCAGTCTCCTTAGTGACCAAAGGCTTGAGCCACAGGTTGGACTCTGCCCTGGGCTCGTCCTGTTCCTGTCATGAGCCCTCGCTGGCTCTGCACAGAGGCGGGCTATCTGTGCCTCCCTGGGGGAGGGCCCTGCTCAACCGGGCGTGTTTGTTGGGAGGCTGGGCTTGGGGAGTCCAGCCTGCAGCCAGCCATGGGGACCCTAAGACACAAAGAAAGGTCCTAGCAAACTGAAGGCAACTGTTAGCCCTGAAGGTCAGGATCAGTCCAGGTGGACGGGGGGAAGCATGGGCAGGAGTGAGGGATTCTGGGAACACGGGCCAGAAACTAACTTCACGGGTAGAGCCTTGGATGGGCAGGAAGATTCCAGAGCCATGTTGTGGTTGAAAAGACAGCAGCACACAGAAGCAGTGTAGTGTGGAGCCAGGTGGGACTGGGGGGTGCCCTGCCTCTCCCCATGGAGCCAGCTGGCAGCAAAGCTCAGGATGCGAGGCAAGACCACAGAGCCTGGTGGTGGTTTGAACTCTTTCTTCTCTTTTGTTAAAAGGGGGAAGGGAAAGGGTGTGAGGTACCCCTGGGCTCTGGGGGAGGCATGCAGGCAGCCCCAGCAGGCAGGCGCTGGGGGATGGGTGGGAAGAGTCCTGGAGTTTCCCACAATTCTTTTCTCTGCAGGGAACAGCGAGGCTGGCTGACAAGGGGGTAGGAGAGAGGGACAGGGCCCTGGGGAGAGGGGTGGAGGGCAAGGGGCTTGGGGGCACACTCTAACATGCAAAGTCCAGCTGCCCCATGAACTAGGTTGCTTCTTGAAGAGCGACATACATATAAATACAGACACAGCTACACACACACATGCGGAGAAGGCTCTGCATTCCCGAGGGTGGGGATCTAGGCCTGAGGGCCCCCAAGGAGCTCCAAGGCAGGAGCCAGCCAAGTCTCCGCTGCTGTGGCGATTCTCCTCCGGAGCCCCCTGGGGTGGGGCAGGGCGAGCAAGTCCTCTGGGGAAGGCTGCTTGTTCTCTGAAGTTCTGTCCACCAGCACCAAGACGACTCTGAACCAAATCCATGCACGGCGGGTGCCCCGGGCCTGCGCTTCCACGTTAGCGCGCGGGCAGCCTGTGTGCTGGCACCAGGGTCCAGTCTCTCCCCTCCAGGGCTCCGGGGAACAGGGGTGCAGACAGAGGGTGAAGGGGGCCCGCGGAGACATCCTCTCCCCCGCCCCACAGGGTCCTGGCCTCCGGGAGGGGGGGAGGGGCCTCCCTTATCTCTCAGCCTCCATTGCAGGGTGGGCCCTCGGTTCTGAAGCGGCCTGTTGGGGGGCCAAGGGTGGCCAGTCTGACACCGGGGAGGGGGGTGCCGGAGTCCACAGGGGCGGCTGCTGCGGCTGGTGGTGCTGCGGGCCCCCCGGGGGCGAGGCAGCGGGCCAGCTCGGGGTGGCGAAGCTGGCGGTGGCGGCGTGGGGGAAGTGCGGTGGGGGGGATGTGGCCGTGGTGGCCATGGGGCTGCCACTGCCGCCACCATGGAAGCTCTCGGAAGCCTTGAGACGGGAAAACATGGTGAGGGCATCAGGGAAGTTGGGGGGCGTGGCGGGGGTGTTGGCAGGAGTGCACATCTGTGGGGGGGGAAACAGAGAGGGGGGGTGAGCCCCCTTTCCGGGAGGGCCCCGCCTCCTGCTGCCTCCCAGGACGGAAGCTTCTGTTCTTCTTCCCGGCTGCACCCTGGCTCCAGACACAGACAGTCCACTAGCTGGGGCTCCCGGAGGATAGGCCAGCTGCGACGGTCGGGCCCAGCACACCCACGGGCAGTGTCCCAGGAGGACCCCCCCCAGGCCCCGCCCCTGCTGCACAGAGCCACTGGGCTTCCTCCCTCCGGGGAGCCCGGCTGCCCCCCCCACCCGAACCTCTGAACCGGGAGTGCCCCCTAGAGCTGCCCCGGGGGGCTGCAGGGACACTTACCATCTGGTGGTGGTGATGGCTGTAGGGGATGTTGGTCTCCTGGAAAAAGGCGCTGAGGGCTGTCTGTGGAAAGAAGGCCAGATGTCATTACCCTCAGGCCCCCTGGGGCCCAGGGCCTCCCTTGTTTCCAGAGTCTCTGGGGCTCAATGAGGCCCTGGGCCTGGCTACGAGTGGGAGAAGGGAGTGGAGGCAGCATGCCCCTGGACGTGCCCCTTGACGCCTGCCACCCCTTAAGGAGGCACCAGACTCCCGGGCAGGTGTGGAGGGTGGTAAAGCCGCTCACAAAGCTGCCTGCCTCCAGACCGCACACACCTGATGCAGTCACCGTGACATCAGGAGGCGACAGGCAGCACCCTCTCCTGCTCTCACAGGGAAAGGCCTTTAGCAGATGCCAGCCTCTGATTGAGATCCTAGCGGGACTGTCACCAACTCCATGGGTGGCAATTCCCCGAGCCTCAATTTCCTCCTCCATGAGCCAGGGCACAGCAAAGACTCCCAGATGCTAAGTCTGTGACCCGCCTGCCCCCCTCCCTGGCTTGCCACAGGGGCCTGCCAGGGAAGGGCCTCAGTGGTTTCCAGATACCCATCCCTTGCCGGGATAACCTAAGATCCACGCTCCAGCTGGGAGAGCCAGAACTAAGAAGGATGGTCTGGGTCTGGCACTGGGTGCCCCACTCACCCAAGCCTCCCCCGGAATGTCCCTAAGGTACAGAGCGGGAGGAGGATGGAAGGGGTCTGCACCCAGGGTGCTGAGAAGGCCCGTGTCAGACAAGCTGGTCTGGAGGCCCCGGGGGGACCGGCAAGAGGGGGCTCGGGGAGCCAGGGAGGGGCTGCATCTGGTCTGTCCTGGCAAGGAGGCTACAGGAAGGGTGCTGAGGAAAGTAAGGGAGCCAGCTGCTCTTGCGAAAGTGCTGGGTGAGAGTGTGTGAAGGGTCTGCTGGCCCTGCCAGGCCCTGGCCCCGGCCCCCTCCACTGCCATCCCTTTAGGCTCCCTGCCCAATCCCTCCCCCACTCCCCACCCTGCCCCCAGCACAGACACCCACACTGGCTCCCAGAGCTTGCCCTGGGATTTTGTTATTTTTTTTACATTCAAATGAATTTTTCTGGGAATTTCCTGCTGGAGATGCCCTACCCCAGTGTCCCTGAATGGGTGTGGGAATGTGGTGGGGTGGGTGCTAGTCTAAGTAACTCCTCAGGACTCCCTCCCACCTGGGAGCCCCAGGGGACACACCCAAACCGTTCCTTCCCAAGTGCAGATCCAAAGGCCACCTGAATGAGCACCCCAGTGAGCACCTTCTGCTGCCTTAAAGCACCACCACTTAAAACACACAGGCCCCCCTTCCCCTGCAGCCCTGTCCTCATTAACACCTGAATCACAGAGCTCTGACCCAAAAACTCGGCCTTTGGCTGGGTCAACCCTCAACCTGTATATTGTGAGCCTTGGGGGGTGGGGGACGGAGGCCACAGAGGGCAGGGCAGCCCTGAGGAACCAGTCACTCACTCTCACACAAGGACCTAGGGTTTGGGGGTTCACACTCCATTTTTACCTTAAGTGAACCTCCCTAGTACCCATATGTCCCTCATTTTACAGATGTGAGACGGAGACTCAGGGAGCCCAGAGCTGTATGGCTCCTACCCCAGGGGGCCACCAGAGCCCCTAAGTCTGCAGGCAGCTCCTGCCCCTCTTGCGGACAGAGTCTTCCCCCAGGTATTTCAATCCTCAAAGCTACATTTTTAATTCCCATGACAAAGTGACACTAACCCACACTGAGAGACAGCCCAGCAGGTGCCAGGCTGAGAGCCCTGAGAGGCTAGGCTCTTCCCACCCAACACGACACCGGCTGCCCAGCCCAGGCTGGGAGGGAGCCATGCATGCAGATGCGGGACTCAAGCAAACGGCCATGAATGTGGTTTTACAAGTTTTGCTACATCTAGCCCTTGAGACAAACAGGCTGATTAGGGAGCTTCCTGCAGGGTGGGGCTGCAGGCCCTGGGGAGGGGGGGCATGTGGGAGTGGCCACTCACTCTTTAGAGGTCAACTCCCACACTGGAGGTGTAGAGAAAACAGGCCAGGAGGAGGGGAGGCCGGTGGAGGGTCGGGGGAAGCAGCCTCCCATGTTGTGGTGTGAGGGCCACGTAGGGCCAGCGAGCCCTCCTAAGAGCTTGGGTAGAAGTTGGTGAGCAAAGATCCCCCTGGCTGGGCAGGCCACTGCTTCCCCAGGCTGTCCAAACCTTTGGGCTGGAATTCTGATCCCCATCCCAGTCACGGTAACTGCGCCCTAGAGGCCCCTGGCTCACTCCTCTCCCCCGCCAACCCCCCCCAGCAGGCCCAAACACCTTCGCTGGGATGGCTCCCCATCAGGAAACCAGACTCCGGGGCCCTGGCGGGGCAGTGACCTTACACCTGCGAGGGGTGGAGCTCAAGGACTCTGGCCTCTTCCCTAGATGCCACCCTGGGTTATTTCTGGGGCAGTTGAGCTGGGCAAAGCCAGGTGGCCGCTTGGCAGCACAGGCTGTGGGCACTAGTGGCCTACGGGTCAGGGAGGCCCAGTGGGTGGGGTCCTGACCGCGGCGGCCGCACCTCCCGCCCGTGTGAACGCCACCCTGCACCGCGTACCGCGCACCGTGCAGGCAGATTCCCCCGCCAGCACCGGAGGCGCCAGCCGGGCACGCCTCTGGGGCGGGGTGCACAGACGCACGGCCGTAGCGGGAGCGCGGGGCTCCCACACACAGCCGTACACCCGGGTGTGTACCCGCGTGGGCCCCATCTGCAGAACGGCGACGCGTGCGTCCGGGGGACACGCTCGGCCCGCACCCGCGCGGGTGGACTGCGTGTTTACACACACGCCAACATGCCCACACGTAGCGTGGCGCGTGCGTAAATACAAGTGCACATGTACGTGGACACAGGCGCCGCCGGGCTGCCCTCCGCCGGCCCCGGCTCCCGAGGCGGGGGCGGCCCCGGGCGTCCTCCTTCCGGCCGCCCGCCCGCAGGCTGTCCGTCCGGGCCGCGGCGCCGCCCCACCCTGGCCGTTACCCGAACAAAAGCGGGGCGGGGGGGTCCGCGCATCCCGGCCGCGGGGAGAGCGGGCGGGGGGCGGGGATTCGGGGCGCCCCTCCCGCCCACCCCGCGCAGGCGGCGTTTCCGGGGGCCGCGTAGACGCCCGGCCGGCCCCGCAAGCCGCGTGTGCGCGCGGGGACCCCGGGCCGAGGGCGCCCGGCACGTGTCCACACCGGCCCGCACACGCGCGGCGGGCGGCACGGACCCCGGCCCCGACCCCGGCCCCGGCCCCGGCCCCGGCCCGGCGCGGCCGCGCACCTCGAACTGCCAGTGGGCCGCCTGCAGCAGCTGCTTCGCCTGGTCGGCCGCGCAGCCCGCCGTCAGCACGAACTGGTTGATCATGACCTGGTGCTTGAGCTCGTCCATGTTCACGGACATGGCGCCGCCGCCGCGATGCCCGCTGCCTCCCGCCGCCGCGCTCCTCCGCCTCACGCGTCCACCATTAGCGAGCCGGCTCCGGCTAATACAAATATTTACTGTGCGGCTCTGACTCACCGAGCCTCGCCTGGCTCGGGGCCGCGGGGGCATGCTGGGAGATGTAGTCCCGCGCCGCGGCCGGCCGGGGGGCGCAGGGAGGTGTGTCGGGATGCGGCCCCGGCCGGCGGCGCCAGCGGGCGGTGGTCCGCGGGGTCTGCGCCGGGCCTCCGCGTTGGACGGGCGCACACTTAGGGGCGGGGGGCCCTGGCAGTCCTGGCATGCATCGTGAGCACGAGGGCGCACGGCCCCAGAGCCCTGGCACACAGTAGGCGCCAGTAAACACTCCTGCACTGAATGAATGAATGAATGAATGGATGGATGGATGGATGGATGGATGGATGAATGTGCCCCTTAGGGCTCTGCAAAATATCACCGCCTCCAGGAAGCCTTCCGGGTTCCCCAACGCCCCGAGCACAAGCTCACTTGGCCCACTCGTCATGCGGGCCTGGCGCTGGGCACTCAATAGGCGCGAGAAGCGTTTGGGGACAGGCCGGTGTCCGGAACAAGCCGGCGAGGGGGTCCCCTCCCCGCGGGGCTCCCACTTTCCCACGCACATTCCCGTGCGCTCGGCCGGAAGGCTTGGCTTGCGGGTGCGGGCGCCAGGACCTGGCGGAGCCAGTTCCGGCGGGGCCCCCCGAACTCCCATTCCCAGAATGCCCCGGTTTATTTGCATCGTTCGGTCCCGAATGACGTCAAGTGAGTGAGGCCGCGCCACGGCCAATGGGTGGCCGCAGAGTGTTAGGACCTGGCCATATAAGGTAAACAAAGCTGGCCGCCCAATGAGGCCGCAGCGGGGGCGGGCGCTGGGTCCGGGCCGGCGGGGGCGCGTCACGTGGCGGGCGGGGGCGGGACCGGGGAGCTCGGGGCGGGGGAGGGGGGGGTCGCGGGTTGTGTTTACAGCTCCGCACGCGCCGCTTCCGGGTGACGTCGCCGGTCTGGAGTTCGGGGCCGGGGCGGGCTGGGAGCGGGATCCTGGGCGGGGAGGCGGGGAGAGGTTTGGCTCCGTCACCCCCCCCCCCCCATCCGAACGACCTTGGCCTGGTTCCTCGAGCTCCCTGAGCTCCGGTTTCATCCGTTGGGCAACTGTTCTTTGGGCCCCTTCTCTTGCCCTGCCCTGGCCCGGCCGGGGTTACTGCGGAGAGCTCACCGAGAAGGGTTGGCTGGGGGGCGCAGGCGGGGCGGGGTGGTTTGGGACCATGTGTGGCGAATCCCAGGTAGAAATAGGGGAAGTGCCCTCTGGAAGCTGACACTGGCCCTGGGGGTTGGGGTGAAAACTCATTGGGAGGTCTTTGTCTTCCGGTCGTTTGTTGGCTTTAGGGTTAGTGTGGGGTCCAGGAGGTGGCCCAGGGGGCCAATCCGGATCCGGAGATGTTTGGTCTGTGTCTGATTCTAGTGGAGTGCCCCCCACCCTGCGCCACACTAGAATTGCCCTGGATGGAGGGCCTGGTGCCACACTGGAGGGGTGTGTGGGAAGCCCTTCCTGGCTCCTTTAACCCTTCCAGAGGTTCTGGCTTTGGCGAGTGGGAGGAGGATAATGGGAGACTGGTTGGTGGACAGGGCCTGAGGAGTCCCAGGATGGTGGAGCAGGGCTGGGGCACGCAGATGGGAGGGGGGACCCTGCGCAGTGAGACCCTAAAGCAGCCTCTGAGGGCGAGAGTCCCCGAGGCCTGTCCTGTTGGCAGGCAGCAGATTCCATTGTTCTCTTGCAGGTGGGTGCCTCGGCCAGCCGGGGCAGAAGTAACCTGTCCACTCAGGAAGTCAGGTTTTGGTGTCTCTTAAGCCACCTGGGATCATGTAGGCTCTGCCATTTTTTGCAAATGCTGATAGTGTCAGGAGATTTCTGGTCTTGTCAGGAATGGCTCCTCCAGGGGCACCTAGGTGTCTCGGTGGGTGAAGTGTCCACCTTCGGCTCAGGCCATGATCCCGCCGTCCTGGATCCAGCCTGCATTCGGGCTCCCTGCTCAGCCAGAAGCTGGTTTGCCTTCCATCTGCGAGTCCCCCTGCTTGTGCACTCGCTGTGTCAAATAAAATATTAAAAAAAAAAAAAAAAAAGAATGGTTCTTCTCCTTAGCAAAGCATCATAAGCATGGATTAGTATGAGCCCGCTGCTTTGGTGGCCCTGAAAGAGGTACTGTTACACTGGGACAGCATCAGGGCGTCCTGGAAGGGAAGTGGGTTCTGGAACCAGACAAGGCTGTGTATGAGTCTTGACTCTGCTGCTTAATGACTAATGTTGGATAAGCTACTGCAGCCCTGAGCCTTGTTTCATTTGTAGAAGCCGAGGTAGGAGCGTGGAACAATCCCACAATCCCAGGACCAGTGAGGGGATTAATAGGCACGCAGTGCTCAGCATGGGCCTAGCACTCCGTGTACCATTTCTAGTACTCACCTCTTTGCCTCCATCTGGACCACTCTAGGGAACCCAAGCCCCATTTGACTGATGAAGAAACAGGCTGGAATCCAATCCCCCTTATGCTCTTGCCAGTGTTCAGAGCCAGTGGAGAATGGGCACTCACTCGTAGGCCATGAGGGTGTTTCTGGCCAGTGAGAGAGGGCATTGTCCTGGCAGGGCCCACTAGGGGATTTTCTGGTTCAGGGAAACAGGAAGTCCCTTGCCCCTTCCCCCTGCCTTGATCCAGCAACATTCGGTTACCTGCCCAGGCTTGTCCAGCTCAGAAGGAGCACTCTCAAGCCGGCAGGTTGGCTGGGTTGGGGCAGACGAGGCTGGCAGGAGCAAAGGTTATTCCTCTGGCCCCCATGGCACCCCTAGCCTGATTGTTTTCCCAGGGGCAGCAGGGAAGAAAAAAACAATCTTGTTTTTAGCCAGGATCAGCCTGGCTAGAGAGTGGACTTTGGATTTCTTAGCAAGCTCAGATAGGGCCTGACAGCTGGGACCAGGAGATGGGGGCAGAGACAAAAAGGTATTTCTAGCAGTGCTCACATCTTACCTGAAGTTCAGGAAAGTTGGGGGCCATAACACAGTGTTCCCAGGATGCCCTGGCTCTTCCTTCCCACCTCCATTTTTTTTCCTTTTTTTTTTTTTTTAAGATTTTAAGTTATATTCACACCCAGCCTGGGGCTCAAACCCACAATTCTGTGATCAAGAGTTGCATGCTCTGCTGACAGTCAACCGGGCGCCCTTCCACCTCCATTCTTTCAAATACTCCATAGATCATTGGGTGTCTGATTCTGGGAGCACAAAAATAACTAGGCAAGGATCCTAGCCGTTCTGGAGCTTCAGGAAGAAGTCTGGACCCAAAGGACTCACCCCAGATACCCATGAACTGGGCCTAGTGTCTAGGCCAATGCTGGCTAACTGAGAGGACTTGAAATCTGGCCACTATGTCACTCCTGACCTCTGTTCCTATACTCACCCGCCTCCCCCATTTGGTTTTAACCACACTGGCCTTTGAGCCCCTGGATCTTCCTGAGCTCCTTGCAGCCTTAGGGCCTTGGCACATAGTGTTTCCCCTGCTTGGAACCTCCACTGGCTTAGCCCCTCAGAGTTTGCTTGCCCCCTGGTTTGCTCTTATTTCTATTTCAAATCCTGGCTTAGGACAGCCCTGGTGGCTCAGCGGTTTAGCACCATCTTCGGCCCGGGGTGTGATCCTGGAGACCAGGGATTGATTCCCACATCAGGCTCCCTGCATGGAGCCTGCTTCTCCCTCTGCCTGTGTCTCTGCCTCTCTCTCTCTCTTTCTGTGTCTCTCATGAATAAATAAATAAAATCTTAAAGAAAAAAAAAAAAACCCTGGCTTAAATGTCACCTCTTCGGAAGAAGTCACCTCTTCCCTGACACCCCCCTATCAATAGTTAAGTTTCTCCTATTACTTCACTGCACCTCTGTTGTCCTATAGTAGCCACTACATTTGGTATTTATGCACCTGTTACCATTTTTAGTGTCCTTCCTCACTAGCCTGCATGATCCACATCTAAGGTTCTTCCATTTGATCCCAGTTGCCTGGCTCGCAGCCTGGCTCATTGCCTGTTACATAGTAGCTGCATGATAAATATTTGTTGAATAAATAAATGAATCAGCACAAATGTTGACAGTAGAACTAATAACAAATCAGAAAGGGCCTGTCTCCCAGCGGGACTTGGACAAGCACAGAAGAACAAGTCCAGAGCTCTGTTAAGAGGAATGTTTAATCAAACATCCAGCCCATGGAAACAACTGCCCTGCCCCAGGATCTATAGGAAGGACACGCTCCTAGGGTTGTTTTTCAACGAGAACATCAGAGTCTCTACTATCCTTGCCTCCCCCCAAGCAGGGAGGTCAGTAAATTGAATTCAGTGTTGGTATATGTATGTGTGTATACATGCAAGTATTACGTGATTTAACAGAAAGATAAGAGAAGAAGGATCATGCAGGGTGGGGGGAGTGTTTAGGCCCCTCTGGTGGCAAGAGACATGAAATCTAGCTCATGGGAATGTTTCTGCTTCTGGGGTGGGAAGGCAGTATAACAGTAAAAGGAATGGCTTGGTGCAAGTTTCAGCTTTATTACCATTTATCTCCTATGCAGTCTACGTAGGGTACTTCACCTCTCACAGCTTCACTTTCCTTTTCTGTGAATTGGGAATGAAAATAAAAGCTACATCGGAAAATTAAATTAGGGATCCCCGGGTGGCTCAGCGGTTTAGCGCCACCTTCGGCCCAGGGTGTGATCCTGGAGACCTGGAATCGAGTCCCATTTCTGGCTCCCTGTGTGGAGCCTGCTTTTCCCTCTGCCTGTGTCTCTGCCTCTCTCTCTCTCTCTCTCTCTCTCTCTCTCTCTCTGTGTGTGTGTCTCTCATGAATAAATAAAATCTTAAAAAAAAAAGAAAATTAAATGAGACTATGTATAAAGCCCTCAACATGATGTCCTGCACATAGTAGGTGCTCAGCAAATGGGGATCTTGGTTGTGAAGCAGAGATTTAATCGGGCTCCTCCAAGACCTGGACTCTACTCATCATCACATAAATCTTTCACCTCTTTTATTAATTTTGGCTTCCCAGGTTCCCTGACAACAGAAGGTTGTATTCTGGACTCTGGCCCCCAGAGTGGCACAGGACTCATTTTAATGTGGAATGTGGTTCATTTACCACTTGAGACCCTTGGCCAGGTGCTGCCCTCTCTGACTGCTTTTTTGATACAGCAAGCTTGCCTTGGGAAGCCACTATCTCTTTTTTTTTTTTTATTTCTATTTATTTATGATAGTCACAGAGAGAGAAAGAGAGAGAGGCAGAGACATAGGCAGAGGGAGAAGCAGGCTCCATGCACCGGGAGCCCGACGTGGGATTCGATCCCGGGTCTCCAGGATCGCGCCCCGGGCCAAAGGCAGGCGCCAAACCGCTGCGCCACCCAGGGATCCCCTGGGAAGCCACTATCTTCTCAGAACCGCAGTTTCTCAACTGAAGACCAGGTAAAAACAATCTCCACTTGGCCTGCTCAGAATTTTATGAGCCAAAAGCCAGGAAAGTACATTGCAACCTCCAAGCCTATAATCCTGACCAATGTTTATTTTTTTATTTATTTTTAAAGATTTATTTATTTATTCATGATTGACATAGAGAGAAGCAGGCTCCATGCCGGGAGCCTGACGCTGGACTCCAGGATCACACCCTGGGCCAAAGGCAGGCGCCAAACCGCTGAGCCACCCAGGGATCCCCCTGGCCAATTTTTAAAACTTGCCTTCAGGGATCCCTGGGTGGCTCAGCGGTTTGGCGCCTGCCTTTGGCCGGGTGTGATCCTGGAGACCCGGGGTGGAGTCCCACATCCGGTTCCCTGCGTGGAGCCTGCCTCTATCTCTATGTCTATCATGAATAAATAAATAAAATCTTTTAAAAAAATAAAAAAAAATAAAACTTGCCTTCAGCACCTGACGTGCAGCTGTCCCTTCTTTGTGTCTCGGTTTCTCTATATGCAAAATGGGGAGAGGTCGGTGGGGCTGTAAATTTATGTTTGTGTGTGTTTTTGTATTTTTTTTTTTTTAAGATTTAAAGGATTTATTTATTCACGAGAGACACACACAGAGAGGCAGAGACATTGGCAGAGGGAGAAGCAGGCTCCATGCAGGGAGCCCCATGCGGGACTCGATCCCATGACCCCGGGGTCGCGACCTGAGCCAAAGACAGAGGCTCAACCACTGAGCCACGCAGGTGTCCCTTTAAAATTATGTCTCTAATTTAAATTAATAATTTAATTTAAAGCCCCGAGTTCTGGAAAAGTCTAAAAGAAGCGCCTAGCTCCTCTAAACCCCAACTCCAGGTCCGCTTGGGTTCCACCCCAGCAATTACCAGGTGGCAGGTAAAGGTGTGCCCTCTCCTGGCTGGGGCAGGAGATAACCCCTGGGAAGCGGGGGGGAACCGCGGTGGCTCAGGGAGATATTTCATAGAGACGGTAAACGAAAGGCGCTGGGTTCCTCTAAGAGCCTACACATGAACAGATGATTAGGAAGCTAAGGAATCACGATCATTAGTGCCGTGCTTGGAACGCAGAGGGAAAGCCAGTTTGCGGCGCGGGGGACGGCTCCTCCCCCTCGTGATTCAGGTCCACTTGGTTTGTCCCGGAGCGCTGGTCAGCAATTTCCCAGGGCCGCGGCACAGGGCATTCTGGGACATGTAGTTCCCAGGCGGGCTTCCTGCGCCGCAGCCCGCCGCCCTCCGTGGCGAGAGGACTCCATTTCCCGAAGTGCCCCGTGCCCGGGGTGGGGGGCGGAGGGCCGCCGTGGCGTCGGGCCCCCGGCCGAGCTGGGGGTTGGGGCTCCGAGGCCGAGGAGCCCGCGGCCGTGGGCGAGCGTCCGTGTGGCCTGGTCCGGGCCATGTCCGCGTGAGGACGCCGCCGCCCCCCGCGTCCCGGCCCCGGCCCGGCCCGGCCCGCCGCGCACCATGGGCTCCATCCTCAGCCGCCGCATCGCGGGCGTGGAGGACATCGATATCCAGGCCAACTCGGCCTATCGCTATCCCCCGAAGTCCGGTGAGCGGCCGGCGCGGCCCCGGGGCGGCGGGGCGGCGGGGCGAGGTCGGGGCGCGGGGGCAGGGCGCGCCCGCGGGGGGCGGGGGGCCTCTGCTGGGCCCGGGGCTCCCCGCGACCCCCCCCCGCCCGCTCCGTGGGTGGGCCCCGGGCTGTCGGCCCCGTCCCGCTGGGGTGACCTTGGGGCAGTCACTTCGCTCCTGCGCGCCGGCTCCCTCGGCCGCACCCGGAGAGACTCAGCAGGAAGCCCCCCCCCGGGGGGGGGGCAAGGAGTTAGCCCGGTGCCCGGCGCTTCGCCTGCGCTTACAAAGTGGCCATTGTCAAAGGGGTTGACATCGCCCCGTCGCCAGTTGGGGTTTTCTTTGGTGGCTCAGTGTGAAGCCCCGCCGCGCCATCTGGACACAGGCTTAGCTTTCTTGTGACCTCCTGGTGCATGTGAATGCTGGGTGGGTAGGTGGGGGGTGGGGGGAGAGGCGCTGGGCCCAAGGAGACCGTATCCGTGGGGGGAGAGGCTGGGAGCCCTTGCTGGAGAACAGGAGACCCACCTGGTTCTCCGGTCTTGTATTTTGTGGCAGGGGGGGACCCTGAGCAGCAAGGGAGTGACTTTCCCAAGGTCTCAGAGCTGGCTGGAGGCGCATCTGGGAGCAGGAATCCGACTCCCGCCGCTGCTCCTCCTTGGCTTGTTCGCTGCTCAGCTTGGGCGCCTCTAAAGAGTGTGGCTTGACCCAGAACTTTAGCTTGAGTTTCTCCCTCTCCAGCTCACGGGGTCACTGCCATGGAAAGAAAAGAAGAAAAAGGACAGGGAGTCTGGACATCAGGGGGACTCTCTGATTGGGTCTCCTGATCCTGGCTTTTGAAGAATTTGGTCTGATAGGGAGGCCTTGGGACACCCATCAGGGGAAGTCCAGGACCGCCCACTCCCACTAGTGGGGAAGCTTGTTTTTTTCTTTTTTATAGATGTTATTTATTTATTCATGAGAGACAGAGAGGCAGGCAGAGACATAGGCAGAGGGAGAAACAGGCTCCGTGCAGGGAGCCCAATGTGGGACTGGATCTGGGGACCATGGGATCATGCCCTGAGCCGAAGGCAGATGCTCAACTGCTGAGCCACCCAGGTGTCCCGTGGGGAAGCTTGTTAAACATTCGTTCCCCAGGCCCTGCCACAGACCTACTGGGGCCTGGGAACCTGCATTTAAACCCATTTCTCCAGCAAGTCTGATATCCACTCGAATTTGAGAACTGCTCTGTCCTGATCTTGGAAGCCCAATAAGGGGAATATCTGGGAGGATAGAGGGGTGGAGACTAGCCGGGCTTTTGGAACTGTCAGAAGACAATGCAGTCAGAAGGCACTGTCGCCCCACCCGTGTCCCAGGCATAAGTGCAGGGCAGCCCAGCCTGGCGTGGGGATCCCCTGGAGGCCAGTGGGCTGACATCCCCACATCTGGTTGAAGCGGTTGTTCGAATTCATCCTCTTCCATCTCTGATGTTCTCCCGCTTTGTCTTTGGCTGAGTGACTCTAGGCAGGTTGCTTTGCCCCCTGGGCCACAGTTTCCTCATGTGTACAATGCGTCGATCCTTATGCAGTACTCAGAACAGTACGTGGGATGGAAAGTCCTCATAAAATAGTAATTGGTATCACGATGGTTAAAAAGGAAATTAGGTGGCCAGTTCAGACATAATAGCTAGCAGTGACACGGCTGAGATAACAAAGTTTAATGTGGCATCTCCTATATAACCCGGGACTAGGGCAAACTTGATGTCCCTTCACTTGGGCATTTTGACGAAACCACAATTGCAAGGCTGTTATGACACTGCTTTCAGATCCTTGTGTGGTAGACCTTGCTGATCATTCAGGACACTCTTTGTCATCAAGCCCAGACTTGGTTTCAGAATCCATTAATAAACACCCCGGTCAGCTACAACTAATCGATTGAGACTGACACCCAAGGTGAATGTCATGGGCTACCTTAGAGCACCATGACAGGGCTCTCCTGGACCCGTCCAGTCCAACAGGTGTCCTCTTGGCTTCCTTGTGCTTCAGGCCACCTTGCTCAGGGAGGGGGGAGGGTCAGTCCAGGCAGAAATGACCTTAGCAGTACTTTCCTGTGGGTACCCAAGAGTGGACTGGGGACCCCAGGGGAGTTTCAGATGATTTTTAGGGGATGGCCCATGGACCATTCAAGCACTTTATGAGAAAGTTATCTTTTCAGATCTCTGTTAATGTTGATGATATCAAGAAGAGAAAAAAAAATGGATGCTGACTTTTTAAACACATTTTTTACACTGTCCCTTCCAGCTTTGTCTAGACATAATTGACATGTAACGTTATATAAATTTAAGGTGTACAGGCTAATGATTGGATACCTGTACACATGGGGAGATGATTACCACAATATGGTGAGTTAACACTCTCATCACCTCACTTTTCTTTTTTCTTCTTTTTCTTTTTTTTTTTTTTTTTTTTTGGTGGTGAGAACTTTTAAAATCTCCTGTCCAAATTTCTTTTGCTTGTGGAACTTTGAGCATGTACTGCCAACAGTACCTAGTTCAAATTTAATAGCTTTTGCTTTGTTTTTATTGTGTTTATTCGTTTTATTTTTTTTTATTTTTTTTTTAAAATATCCAGTTTCTTTTTTTTTTTTTTAATTTTTATTTATTTATGATAGTCACACACACACAGAGAGAGAGAGAGAGAGAGGCAGAGAAGCAGGCTCCATGCACCGGGAGCCGGACGTGGGATTCGATCCCGGGTCTCCAGGATCACGCCCTGGGCTAAAGTCAGGCGCTAAACCGCTGCGCCACCCAGGGATCCCTATTCGTTTTATTTTTTAAGCAGCTTTCTCAAGATAGAAATTGTGTGCCATACAACTCATCCATTGTAAACACTTTCAGTAAATTTGTAGAGCTGTGCAGCCATCCCCACAATCGGGTTTTAGACCTTTCCATCACCCTGCAAAATTTCCTTGTGCCTATTTGCAGTGAGTCAGTGCCCCACCCTCACCCCATTACACTCATCAGCTTTCTGTCTTTAAAATGTGCCCAATCTTGATACTTCATGTAAAAGGAATCATATAACACATGGTCTCTTTTGTGTCTGGCTTCTTGCCCTTGGAACAATGTCTTGGAAGTTCATCCATGTTGTAACAGGTGTCTGTACCTTATTGTACAATAGAGTACATTTTATTTATTTACTGCTTAACATTTGAGTTATTTCCACTTTTTGGCTATAATGAGTAATGCTGTTATGAACGTTCATGAACATTTGTGTGGCCAGTTTCAATTCTCTTTAGTATATATCCAGGAAGGGAATTGCTGGGTTATATGGTGACTCTATGTTTAACCTTTTTTTTTTTTTCTTTTAAGATTTTATTTATTCATGAGAGAGACACAGCGAGGCAGAGACATAGGCAGAGACAGATGCAGGCTCCCTGCGAGGAGCCTGATGCGGGACTCGATCCCAGGATCACTCCCTGAGCTGAAGGCAGATGCTCAACCGCTGAACTACCCAGGCGTCCCTATGTTTGGCCTTACGACAAACTGCCGGACTGTTTCCATCATGGCTGCTTCAATTTTACATTCCCATCAGCAATGTGTGAGGATTCCAGTGCTCCACATCCTTGCCAACACTTATTATTGTCTACCTTTTATTTTATTTTATTTTATTTTATTTTATTTTATTTTATTTATTTTATTTTATTTTATTTTATTTTATTTATTTCTTATTCATGAAAGACAGAGAGAGAGAGAGAGAGAGAGAGAGAGAGACAGGCAGAGGGAGAAGCAGGCTCCATGCACGGAGCCGATGTGGGACTCGATCCAGGGACTCCAGGATCACACCCTGGGCTGAAGGCGGCACTAAACCACTGAGCCACCCAGGGATTCCTTGTCTACCTTTTTTAAAGAAATAGTCTCTACACCCACAATGGGGATTGAATTCATGACCCTGAGATCAAGAGCTGCGTGCTCTACTGACGGAACCAGCCAGGTGCCCCTGGCTGTTGTCTGTTTTGTTACAGCTGTTCTCTCATGGGTGTGAAGCGGTATCTCATTGTGGTTTTGATTTTCATTTCCCTGATGATTTTTTTTTTAAGATTTTATTTATTTATTCATGAGAGACACAGAGAAAGAGAGAGAGAGGCAGAGACACAGACAGAGGGAGAAGCAGGCTCCATGCAGGGAGCCCGATGCAGGACTTGATCCTGGGACTCCAGGATCCCAGCCCAACCTGAAGGCAGACGTTTAACCGCTGAGCCACCCAGGCATCCTCCCTGATGATATTGAACATGTTTTCACGTGCTTATTAGCCTTTTGTATACTGTGTGTGTGTGTGTATGTATGTATGTTTGCGCACACACGATGGGGAGAGAGAAGCATGAGCACAACTGCTAGACTTCTCTTTTTGTCTTTTGTTCATTTTTTAAAGATTAGATTGTCTTACTGAGTTATAATAGTTCCTTATTCTGGGTGCAATGATACAGTTCCTTTATCAGCTCTGTGACTTGCTAATATATTTTCCTAGTCTGTGGCTTGTCCTCATTTTTCTTAATGGTGGCTTTTGAGGATCAAAGGTTTTAAATTTTGGTGAGGTTCAGTTTATTCATTTTTTTAGTGCTTGATGTTTTTGGAGTTCTAGCTAGGAGATTTTTGTCTAGGCCAAGGTCCCAGAATTTTTGTTTTTTGTTTTTTTTAAGATATTATTTATTTATTTGAGAGAGAGCGAGTACATGCATGAGAGAGAGAGAGCAAGTGAAAGTGAGCACATAAGCAAGGGGAGGGAGAGGGGGAGGGAGAAGCAGACTCTGCTGAGCAGGAAGCCTGACGTGGGGCTCCATCCTGGGACCCTGAGATCATGACCTGAGCCGAAGGCAGATGCTTAACTGGCTGAACCACCCAGGCGCCCCTCTATGTTTTTTTCCTTAGAAGTTTTATAGTTTCGGCTAATGCGTTTAGGTCTGTGATCCATTTTGTTCCAATTTTCATATATGTGCTGCTAAAGCAAGTGC